CATACTGTAAGGGACCATAATCAGCATGCTAGTATTTGTCACATTACAAGCATTGTTGTAAATCTAGTGAAATCTTCACTGTCTAATATAATATTTCTAAACTGCAGACAGCATGAAAACTGCTGGTTCACCACAGGAAAAATAATAATGTAGTCATTTGTGACCTTAAAGTGCCTTATTTCACTTTCTTCCAGCCAATTTTTCCTAAGAGTTGTTAAATCTGTTTCATCCCTACATTGGCTGGGACTAGGGGTTTCATTGCATAACAAAATTATCTGCAGGTCTCAAAAGTTCATTGTCTTTTCTGACTGTGTCTTTATCCTAGTTGTTGACCATATAATCAGGAAGCAAATCTAGATAAATATTTTATTCAGCACTGAGTAGTGAGCTAGTAATGCTTTGAGGAATTGGACAGTCTTCTGATTTTTATTCTTGAAATTTATATGATATAGGAAAAAAAGTTAGGTTATTAACTTCTTAAATCACATCTTATTTAGAAAGTATGCATCATGCATCAGATGTTCAAGACATTTTACCGTGATATATATATTTGTCATCTTTTTAAATATATTTTGAAATATATAGTTGCACATAGAAAATGACTATTTAAAAGTATTAAATACAAAAAAATATCCACCCAAAATATTATATCTACCTTAAACGGAATGAGGAATAGTATCTAAAATAATCAGGGAATGGGGTATTATCTATATGGCTTTGAGATGTTTTCAACAGCTAGTCTGTTCATGTCTTTCAAGACATATATTGAATGGAAGCTCAATATATTTTGGGCATATCTAGTTCTCTGGTTCTGAAGTCTAGAAGCTTGTTTCTGGAAATGAAAAACATCTGCATTCCACAAATAGCTATATGATTGGAATATTATTTTCCTGTTTGTTCCCTTTGATTAATATTTGATTAACCTTAAAAGATTATATTTCACATACACCTGTGCACTCACTTTCCAAATTTTATTTTCATCCTTTTTTGGCTCAATTTTTTGGAATTAATGAAGAAAAATAAATCAGCCTTCATTCTCTAGATGTCAGCCCTTCAAGATAAACCAAGTCGGAAAAATGGCCTCCGCAAAAAATACCAGAACTTTACTTTATTAACATAGGCTATAACAACATCTGCAATAACTGAAAAGAGTTTTCCCTTTCCCCCCTGATTATACCAAGGAGAGTCACTTTAAGTTTCTTTCTCTCTATCTTCCCTTCCTGGTCTTAATTCATGATTTTCTAGCTGACATTGCATTCCTTTTCCTTGTTCATCTCTGTGTTTTCTACACCAGATTACAAGCCCATCATCTTCATATAGCATTATGGTGAGAGTTATGGTCCAACATATATGGAAAACATTGAGTTGAAGACAAGACAGAATGTTTGATTATGATTTTTGGAGATTGTTTCAGCCCTTAATAAAGTTACTGTGAAGTTAAAATTGTCTGCAGCAACCATGCCAGAATAAGTATTAAATTTATGTTTGTTTTTGTTGCTTTAAACATGAATAAATGAAACATGTTTGTATGGCTTTTTTCTCTGCTGTTCCCCAGATATCCCTTCTGGGTGATGTTGACAATAATTTGATCAGTACATGCCTGATGGAGCAAACCATATTTTTCTCCCCCCTCACCCTAGAGTTAGAACTGGTTTGTGAGACAGGACAAATTTGACCAGGCTGCTAAAAAGAGGCCACTTGCACCTTCAAGGCATTCTCAGGTTCATCTACAATCAGTAGAAAAAATGACTATAGCTCAGGGCTTTAAAAAGTGTTTTTGTCTTTGTTCTGTATTTCCAATAATATTGAAACATTTTATATTGGTAAATATAGCCAACTGGCATTGATGGAAGGCATCAAGCCTGTTCTGGGTTTAATAAATAAAAGCATTATTTTTGTCAATGTTCTGTCATTTTTTCTCTTAGTCTTTTGGAAATCCAAATTTATGGCCTGTTTTATCATCAGAGAAATGCATAATATCAGATACAAGAATTCTTGTATGCCCACCATTTGCAAATTGTGAAAATAAAATGTAGAAGTAATCCTGCCATAAGACAAAGTTTTAGTCTAGTTCTGAGTGAGGCAGCACACCTAAGGATGATCTGCTATTCCTCAGACTACCAAGGTGACAGTGCAGTTTTCCCAGGAAAATGTTTTTGTAAAGGAATAATTGTCCAACTTGACATCATGTGGCTAAGCCAATACTTTGTTTTTCCTGACAAAATACATTGTGTTAGCTTGGCTTTTAGCTTGGCCTTGCAAAATCTCCTACGCATATTAGGATCAGTTCAATAAATCAACATTGTTTAATAATTAGCTGACCTTTGTTGCCACTATTCTATTAGTAGCCACACATTTTAAGGAGTATGAGTACAGAATCATAGTTGAAACTTTTAATAAACTACAGCTTTCTATATAAAATAAGAAAATAAATCCAGAGCAATACTGTATTTTTAACAGTCTACTTTCCTTTGGAATAATGAAATCTGAGGAGAAATTTGGAATGAGGAGAATTTTGGAAGCGTCTCTATGTGATGAAACAGAATCGTAACTAACAGAAGATTTCATATGACTGGTGACATCCCTAGGATAGCTGTAGCTAAAATATCACTGTAGTTCTTTCAGCTGTTCTGCATGCTAGCTGTATCAACAGAAAGCTATTGACTGGAGCATTTAGGTTGCACCTGTTGCTGAAAGTATAAGTGATGCTGCAAAGTGAACAAAATATCCACTAATTTATATGAAGTACTTAAAAGGGATCCTTGAGAAGGTCTGTCAAGATGCCAGGGAATGCTTAACGGCCAGGTGTTCACTTTATTTTGATATGTGAATAATGGAAAAAGAGGGGCAATCAGGAAAGGTCTTGAAAAAGGTTTCATTTTCCTAAGATAGCTTTTAACCAAAATACAAAATCTTAAATACAACAAAATCCTAGGGCCGTGATGGTGAACCTATGGCACGGGTGCCACAGATGGCACGCGGAGCCATGTTGCCTGGCACGCCAGCTCAGCTCCGGCGCGCATGTGCACACCGGCCAACTAATTTTTGGGCCTTCTGGGTCCACCAGAAGTAGGGAAACAGGCTGTTTCCTCCGTCCGGAGGGCCTGGGGGAGGGGTGTGGAAGGCCCGTTTTTCTTTCTCATTCCAGATCCTCCAGATCCTCTCTATGCATCTGGGGAGGGTGAAAACAGCCTTCCCCACCCCCTTGAAGGCCCTCCGGAGGCCCCAAACAGCCCGTTTTCCAACTCCCCAGATGCATAGAGAGGATCTGGAGCCAGGTGAGAAAGAAAAACAGGCCTACTGGGCTATCGCATGCCAGGAGCGGGGGGGAGGGGGGTCGCGTGCGCATGCGCGGGGCACATAGAATTATGGGTGTGGGCACGCGCACGCATGAACCTTCCCCGCCCCCACCCCTTCCTGGCACACGATGGCAAAAAGGTTAGCCATCACTGTCCTAGGGTATCCAACACAACAAAAGGTTTCAAACAATCTATGCACAGTGTCCTGATGCTAATTACTAACAAATATAAGGAAATAGCATACTAGAAAAGCCTGAATGAGCAACTTTAAGGATGGGTCAAATAAGCAAATTATTTTGAGTGAAGACTGAAAGAACTAGGGATGGCCAATCTAGTGGAAAGAAAATTAAGTGGAGATTATGTTTGTTATAGAAATAGCAGGGAAAGCAGCTGCTAACATTCTCTGTTTCGAATGTGTACCATGATACAGGTTATATCAGTTGTAGTACTGTGTAGCTAAGACATTCCGATTGTTATTCTACTATATTGGCCAGAAAATCTACAATCCATTTTTTATAGTAATACTGCCTATTTTTTTCTTGGTAAGGTACCATCAGCATGATTAAGCATTAAAGGCTTCAAAAATCTGGCTCCCACATGACCTAGGACAAAACTAGGCTCTTTTCTGAATAATATTTTATATATTTGTAAGGGCTTCTTTCTGAATGGAAATAGGAGTCTCACTTCATTCATCTAACTGAAAGTTTTAATTTTAGATTGATTCATATGTCCAGGATAGACAGATTTCAGCTTATGAGCTGCTCTTCCAGCTCTTAATTTGTCTGAAGATTGCAGCAGGTTTAGCCAATGATTCAATAACAATACTAAAGTGGGCTGTGTCAGAAAAAAACAACCCCAAATTCTACACATTTCTCCACTTGGGGAGTCTTAAAATGCATTGCATTAAGACTTCTAAAACTTTAAGGGAGCCCATTGCTTCTTAAGACATTTTCACCCAATCTCTGGAAAAAAATCAGTCTGATATCTTTAGTGAAGACATTACTGGAAATGGATGTCTTGACATATTAGAAAGATTCTAGTATATCTAAAAAATGAAAAAAGGAATAGAAGTTAACACAACTTATCCTGCATTATGAATAAAAATTACTTGACTCAGGGAAGCTAATCACATGTCTATTTGAATTATTACTTTTTGTATGATTCATTACTTAAAAGAATGCTTAGAGTGGCTATTCATGCTGGGAGACAATAACAACTGAATAATTCTACTGCTTTTGAAGTTGGGAGTGATTGAATTATCCAATTTTCTAACATGAGTTATTCTACTGTATGTCTATAATACTTGCAGCCATTGAGGAGTGAATCATACTGATATTTTATGCTTGTTATATAATGTTCTGTTATATGCGCGCACGCACATACACTATATATGTGTTTGTTAGAGTGTACAACTATTCTGAATTTCTATACAAATTCATCTGTCTGAAATAAGTTAGAAGTTTGAAGCAATGAAAGCATGCAATATAAGAAGAGAAACAAACATACACTGGGAATAGCTACCTCTGCTGTGGGGTGAGAATTTGGCCCTCGCTTTAGTTCTCATAATGAATTAGCCATTTTCTTGCAGCACACCACATTGGACGGTCTGCTTTAAGGGGCAATATTAGCAAGCCTCTCCTTCCAGCTCTGTCTTTTGAAATATATCTTATGTCTTATCTCTGTTCTGTTCTTGATTCCTAGGTCCAGCTAATCACAACAGCTCCCTCTTAGCCTCGCTTCCCATCCCAGGACGGTCTTTACATCCATCACTGGATATCAAGCATTTTCTGACTTTCCGCCTCAATGGCACACCTCCACTCAACCTCTTTCCTAATTTCAATACGGTGAGTTTTTCTAGTTTGATCTATTTCTTCATCCCCACAGAGCGGTGTCCTTAAGCACTGTATGCAGTTAGGTAGCAGCAAAATTATCCTCTACTTTCTGAGCTAGCCATTTTCACCCTAGAATATAACTATTCTGGCCCAATGTTTATTTCAGTCTTCTCTGTTTGCTCATTGCATAATTCACCCTGTTGATCTATAGACTTCAAGGTCAAACAGGACACATATGCTGGATCTATGTGTGGTAACTGTAGAAATACAGCAAGTGCAGGATGCCTGCACACACCCCATCATGTTCATCATATTATGCCCCATCCCTACAGATGGAAAGTTTAAGCTAGCACCTAAAAAGAGATGCAAAGGTCACTGGGGATTTTTAAGATGCCATGATGATGGTAGCCATATAATAAGGTTATAGCTGCAACATGGCTTTCTAATTAATGGGAGGAAAAACAGAGTTCCAGAAGAAATAATAGAATAGAATAGAATAGAATAGAATAGAATAGAATAGAATAGAATAGAATAGAATAACAAAGTTGGAAGAGACCTTGGAGGTCTTCTAGTCCAACCCCCTGCTTAGGCAGGAAACCCTATACCATTTCAGACAAATGATTATCCAATCTCTTCTTAAAAACTTCCAGTGTTGGAGCATTTACAACTTCTGGAGGCAAGTCGTTCCACTGATTAATTGTTCTAACTGTCAGGAAATTTCAGAAAATATGCTAAATTAATTTTACTTTTCTACTGACTTCCCATAATAGCTTATGCAAAGCACTCTTTATTTCCTTAGAATTTTGTTTTCTATGTATTTTAAAAGGTTGAAATAACAGAGGTATAGTCAATCCTCACAAATTCTAAAAATTGTGTATCTGATAGCCTTTAAAAACAGTAATGTTTCCATTTTCTTGGCATTACCTCCCCCGCAATTCAGTAGGATTGCAACTCCAAACATTCCCATCCAGTATAGGACCATGGAGGTTTCAAGTTGGGGTCAATTGTTTTTGAGCATCTTCAAAAAAGACAGATGTAGTATCTACTCTAGTCTCCAGTTTTCACAGCAGGCAGTAGATATCTTCAGGAGGTTTTGCAACTATCCCACTTTTGCCTCTTTATCTGATATAATATTCCTGAATGTTGAGGATCTATTTAACCACAGTACTACAATTATTAATTCATTGATAAAACTGCCTCCCTCCATTTATCTATTCCAGATTTTGTTTACTGTATCTTACAGTGGTAATTTTATAAGTATTGTCTATTTTTCTGCTTGAGAGCAGTACTGTTTTCAACGAATGATCCTAACTTCTATTTTCTGAGTAAACTAAAATGTTAACAAATGAATAATGCATGATCCATAAGTTAACCTGTTTGTTTATCTTTCCCTTTGAAATGAAAAAATGGAATATTATATAGAAAGAATGAACAAAATACAAAAGTAAAATCACAACTGCCATATTTGCTCCTTACTCTAGTGGGGGAAAAAAACAAATAATTTTTATGTTAATTTCCACTACTGCCTAATCTGTTATTTGGACAGATTGAAGTTCCAGTTGACAGAAATAATTAATAGTCTAGAATGTTAAGGAAATCATGTTGTATTCTTCATGGCTATATATAAGAGAGCCATGTTAACCAATTTGGTTCGGTTATGGCTCATGGTGTTTATTCAGTAGATTTCTAAGTAACCTCAAGACATGGTCTTAATTTATATATACAGTAGCAAAATAAAAGCACCACTATAAATACGTTTATGTAAACAAAATACAGTCAGGAACTTAATTGCAATGAGTATTATAAGGCTTTTAAATATGTTAAAACTCATCCCAATGGGATTGGCCTGCCCCACTTGCTCTAGCAGTAGGGGCATCTGCAGACCCATCAGCCAAGACATTTCAGCTGATGAAATTCAGAAGAAGAACGATTTCTGCCATGACTCATGCCTTTTGGAACATTGTACCCCTTGAGGTGATAGAGATCCTCTCCCACCCTCTTGGCTTTCCAAAAGGGCCTGAAACTCTGGCTCATGCCTTTGGAACATGAAATCCTGGCTTGGGGCCCTAATGGAGGTGCTTTACATTAGAAATGTTAAACAGATTAGAAGAAGATCCCACCTCCATCCATTAATGTGTTGGTCCTTTTTTATCTTGTTTTTGTTAACTTTTAATGTTTTAATTTTTAGAGCTTAATATTTTGATTTCCCCCCCCCATTGTTTTATGATGTTGTGAGTCATCCAGAGTCATTTGACAGTGAGATGGGTGACATATAAATTTAATAAATAAATAAAAGCAGCCAATAGATAGGTCAAGTCACATATTGCACTGAACTAACAAAGAAAATAATTTAATAGTGGGGAGAAGAGTCTGGAAGTGATGTACTTTTTGAGCTAAGCCTGAAACGTAGAGCAATTTGACTATAACTTCTTGGGAATCAAAAGTTTCCTTTTTCTCTAATGGTTTCATTCTGGGAATAAAGCAAGAAAGGGCTTGTTTGATCTCCCTTGGTTATACAACCTACTTGTGGATTTGGATGGATGGATGGATAGATGGATGGATGGATGGATGGATGGATAGATAGATAGATAGATAGATAGATAGATAGATAGATAGATAGATAAACTTGGCCCATTCTTGTGTCTCCTGGTTTTCCTGACCTCATGGTCTTTACAGGATATTCAGTGCAATAACCTTACATATCAGTTGATATATTGCAGGGATAAAATAGAAGTTATCCAAATCATTGCAAATTAGTTGAAGCATAAGAGTTTGGGATTTTTTTTTTCTTAACTGCTTGAATCCAAAATAATACTTTACAGTTTTCTGGGCATTTTGTCCTTGTCCTAACAGATTGAGAGGTGAGAAAGTCCTAGAACTTCTGTAGATGAATACATTAAGAATAAATTATATCTAGTAGGTTGGACAATGTTATTTATTTTGGTTAAGAATCAAGTTTTTTAAAAATCAAGTTAAAATAGTATAATTTTTAAAAATGACCGTATAACTCTTGCAATCTCTCCTAATAATCTCAAAATGCTCAGCTAGCAGGAGGTGCACATAATCCTTTGCAGATCAATTCTATTTAATGGAAGGAAAGTTGTAAGCTCAGAGCACAGAATCTCGTAGAAAAGATGGTCTGGAATTGCATGTCCAGTTTGAAATGGGAACTATTGTAATTTTAGAGTGACTCTAAAGTGTTGGTTTTGCTAAAAGTTCAGCTATGGAATAGTTTGTTCTTCAACGTAGACTAACTGCAAATTTAGATAACCAAAAAAAAAAAAAAAAGACTGCAGAATTTTTAGAACCAGCAGGATAGGCTGTCAAGAACAGGAACGTTATGTTTGAATTTGAGAAAACTGCAGGCAGTTACCAGAAGTCAACACAAACCTGAAGGCACAGGATGCAGGAAGTTTGAGTACAGAATTTGGATTCTGTAAGTACAGATTGTACATTCCTATTGACTAACAACCCATATTTTATTGAACACTAGAATAAATCTAAAAGAAATCTTGAATTCTGTTGTTAGAAGTCAGCAACCTCTAACAAAATAAGCCATAAAGAAAACAGAAAAATATATATTTGCCTAAAGCAAACCTGAAATTATTCGGCAGATCTTTTTTATGTCTGCTTTTGCATAATGATTAATGACAAAGGGTTTTCTGCAGTGGCTGCATGATTCCGATTGGTTCCCAGAGTAATCTGTCATTAAATTTAAATATTAAAAAAATCCTTATGTACCAAGCCTTTTTAAAGTTGAATGACCAAAATGGTTTTCCTGATAGATTTACTTTGCTAAGTTTGTTCTACTCTACTTTACTCAGCTTATAAGCAAATGTTTTTAGAAAGTGAGAACTGTGTCATAATGTAGAAAAGTAGTTAATAATATTAATAAATGATATTGTTCACAGCCTTAGGATGTTTGGCTATTTGCTGTCGCTATTATGGTAATTATCATCATTTAATATGAAAAATTAAGTCTCTTAAAAGAGAACTACACTAGAGATTAGTTCTGAATTAACATGCATAGAATTTTACCTTACACATGGGACAACACTTGATTACAAGGTTGCACACTTAAAGGTTGATTTTAAAAACAATTGTCTATTAAAAGCAATACTGTACCTATTAGCTATAAATGGAGCCACAAAGTAAAAAGGTTACTATTTGTAACAGTAATTATTATTGGTTTGTTGCACAGTCTGCCAGATGTTTAGATCCTATTTGGCATTTTTATCAACCCATCGAGCCCTTCCAAAGACCTGGGATAGGTAGTTGTGGATGTTTGATGGTGTTAAATGTATGCTTGCAGGATCTAAGCTGTTCGAGTAAAGCTGCCTTTTGTAACTGGCCAATGGTAATGTTGTCAATGACACTGGTGTTCAAGTGGTGCGCCAGTTGTTTTAGGATTGCACCCGTGATGCCTATTAATATTGGTACTATTTTCGGTTTCTTTTGCCACAGTCATTCTGTTTCTATTTGCAGGTCTTTGTATTGTTATTTTTTCTAGCTGCTTCTCTTCTATTTTACTCTCCCCAGGTATTGCCATGTAAACTATCTATCTTATTTTGTCATTCTTATCGACAATTGTTAAGTCTGGGGTGTTATGTTGCAGGTGCCTGACTGTTTGAAATTAAAATCCCACAGCACTTTAGTGTCTTCATTTTCTATTATTTTATCTATTTTACGGTCCCACTAGTTCTTACTTGCAAAATGGTGTTTCTTGCAGATATTCCAGCGCACCTTTGCCCTATTTTGTCATTCTGTTGCTTGTAGTCAGTCTATGCAATCTTCTTACAGCAGCTAACCAAGTGGTTGACACTTTCTTCAGCTTCTTTACAAAAGAGCCACTTTATCAGTTCTGGCTTTGTATGCATTTGTTCTTAAGGCTTGATCTTGTGCAGCCAGAATTAACATCTCTGTCTCTTTCTTCAACTTAACTGCTCTTAGACTGCTTTTTTAATGTATTGGCCATGTAATATTTTGTCTTTCCATGTCTGCTTTCTGTTCTTCATTTAGTCTTTCTTATAGCCAGTTTGGTCTCTCCAGTACTCAGTAAGCCTTCCTGATATACTAGTTTCAGTGCCTCTCCTTCACTACCTTTCAGATATTCTTCCGGTGCCCTTTTTTCTTCTTCAACCTTCTGATATACTTGCATCATTCCATAACCACCTATTTTCCTTGGTAAGTAGAGTCTGTCAACGTTGCTGTGAGAATGAAGGGCATGACTTATTGTCATTATTTTTTTGGTCTTCATATCCAGGGCTTTTAGTTCTGCTTGAGTCCAATCCACTATCTAATGCCTGGAATTGCCAATGTGTTAATTGTCTTGATGGTATTTTCTCCACTAAGTTTGGATATTAAGATCTTCTTCACTCTCTTCACTCACCTCTAACCTTTTTCTTGACTTCAGTATAGTTGATGTCAGCCTGAAGAAGGTCTAGATATTTGTAATAATTGTCTTCATTCAGACTTTTGATGTTATTTCTATAAGACACCTTGATTCCTTCAGTTTTCACTATTTTTCCCATTTTCCCATTTGTCTAGTCCAAATTCTATTGCAATACCCTGAACCGTGTAGATCAAAAATAGCAGCAGCTATTTCAGATGGTGTTCTTCCATGCAGCTTCAGATCATCCATGTAAAGGAGGTGAGATAGTCTGGCAGATATTTTTATGTTTGATAGTCGTGGTCTGACTTGTTCAGTATGTTGACAGAGGAATCTGTGCAATGAAAAACAGTAGTGGTGATAGTGAGTCTCTTTGAAAAATTCTCTTTTGATACTAACCTCTCCCAATCTATCAACATTGACCAGCAACCGTATCCAGTGTGCTATCGATCTTTGCAGAAAAATTGTGATGTTTTTACAGATTCCTGTTATTTCTAGGTACTTGATTGTTCAGTCTTGTGAAGTGAGTTGAATGCCTTCTTGTAATCAATCCACACTACATTCAAGTTGGTCAACCTTCTCTTGCAGTTTTCCAGAATCCAATTAATAATTGATCCTTTGTTCCTCTTGTGTTTGGGTGGTTTCCCTTCTGTTCAGAAAAGGGAATCATCTTCATGCTTTGGAGGCACTGGTTGGCCTTTGATCTATCATAGTAGGCTTTGTTTTTCAATTTTACACATTGGATGTTGAAAATAAATGGAACAAAAGGAACAGAATAAACATCCTCATGCTGTTCGGAATATATTCAATTCATAGAGAAGTTATTCACACCACTTGTCACTTTTCTCCCCCCAAAAAAATCCACGATACCTTTTTCTCCTTTTGGAGATATTGTGGATCTATATTTATACTACCCTTGTGTGTCACATCTTTGCATCAGGTTGATGCTATCTAGAGCATACAAACTACTATCAACTGTAGTATAAAAACTTCCTTTCCTCTCTTAAAATCTCTGATAGATCACTCTTCCTTTTCTGTCTCTATCTATCCCCCTTCATTTTTATTGCAAATGAATCAGTAAAAAAAATTATAATAATCATGGGAAGGTACCACGATCGTCGATTACTGTTTGTTGCCACTTCCATTTCCGTTGGTGATGGAATTTAGGGGTCCAAATAATGATTCCCTTGTCTGCACACTTTGCCTGCCAGACCGATGCACCTGTCTGGGCAACTAAATAGCTTTGCTGAGAAATACGATCACCTTCAAACCTCAATCTCTTTCTCGTTCCATTCTTCTTGATAGCCAGCTTTGGGAAAGATATCTTTCACAATCACAGGGATAAAAGAACAATGCTTATATTATAGATTATAGCTGTGGTCAATTCTATATACATATAGAATTAGGTTGTTATTTTTCCTTATCTTTTTCACCTTTGTAGTTCTTACTCTAACCTTTTTCCTCTGTTTATAATTATTGTGAATATTTAAACACGAGAGTTAGGGAAAACCAACAGAAACAAATTTCTTTAAAGCAGAATGTAACAGAAATGGTTTGCAGCAGTGTTTTCTCAATCTGAGTGCTGGTTCTTTTGACTTGGCCCTTGAGACATCAAGCAATTATTGAAATGTTACTTCCTCAAGCTCTGTTTCCTATCACAGCATAAATTATCTTCCACATCAGCAATTTCTAGAGAAGCACGAGGTTCTTGAGACGTTTATAGTGTTTTTCCAATTGTGAGACCTGTAATGGCTGACACATTTCTATGAAAGCTTGTCCAACAGTGTCTTTCTGCAACAACTTTCAGCTTGTAGAGAAGACTGACACAACGTATAGAGAAGAATGGGCCATCTTGCTACATTAAAAATAATCGCAGGCCCCAAAGGAATAGCTGACATCCTGATCAGTTGCTTCACAGCATAACAGCCTCGATGGAACTAGCAGCGTAGAAGGTGCTAAGGAAAGGTTTTCCCCCTTAACCATTATCTCCAGCAGATGTCTTTGCCATTTTCAGCTGAAGGTGGAGAGGAAGTAACTAACGTCATTCAGACCAGAGAATGTCCCTGTATAGACACTTGAGCAATTGCATTTCAGTCTCGGGGCTGGGAAAGTCATGGCTAAGAATCCATTAGCTTGTAAGGGCAGGAAAAAAACACTTATGATTTTAAACCTAAGAGCCAACATACGGGCTTGATTTTTGGGTTCTGCAGCAGGGCCTGCCTTGTGTCTATAATATATGACACATCTAGCTGTATCAAATCTTCGAAGGTTCTATTTTTAGCTAGTTCCTGACTAAGGACTGAGGTTTTGGAGGACCAGAGTTTTATAGCCATGCCTGACCCAAATCTGACAGATGAGGACATTTCCTCAGCAAACAAGCAAATGTTCTGTGGTGCTATGGAGGCAGTTTTTGAAAAGGACAAACACAATTTTACATGCCTGGCTCTCAGAGCACCAGCTAACTTGGCTCCATTTATCTTCACATCCTTCCCCTCTCTAGATGGATCCAGTACAAAAGGCAGTAATCAACCATACCTTTGGTGTACCCAATCCACTTAAGAAGAAGCAGTTCATCTCTTGTAATATTTGTCATCTGAGATTCAACTCTGCGGTAAGCTACATCCCTGAAACCAAGCAGATTGGAAGGGAAAAGGAAGAGGAGAACTGCAATATAGATAGCTATGTCAGTTTTGCTTATGAGTGCACAACAGTTCATGTAATGTTTTAGTGTTCAAAGCACCTAATTTAATAATTTGTGAGGAAGGTCATGATTAGCAATGCCTTCCATATTCTACAGTCCCAAGGCTGAAACTGTCTTAAAGCTGAATTTGTGGTAGTCTTTGGCAAAAGTGAGACTTGGGTTGGTGTAGGCCTGATTTATGGTTCCCTTAGATTCACAGAGTACAAAGCACAGCAAGTCATATTAACAAGTCTCATCAGAGAAAGAACATCCACTGAAGACAGCGCCATCAAGGCATTGTTTAATGCACTAACCAAATCAAGATCTTGTGCTTCTTCCTCTAAGTTTCTTCCTCTAAAACGTTGCAAGGGGAACAAGTTAGAATCCTAACTGTTGGACATATTTAATAAACTATGGATAAAGACTCTTGGTTTGTTCACCATGCTCCCTCATTGAAAGGGCCCACTGTCACAATAAAAAAAAAAATCAGCATGATACTTCGCTTGTATATAAGCCATAAAATATTGTGTATCGTGTAATGCATGCAAAGTCATTGAATGTCGATTCTTTCATCTCTTTGGGGGAAAAAACAGATATCATATTTTTTTGCAGAAATAATCTTCTCTTGCCGTACTACCACCTGTGTTTCTTTCTTTCTTTCTTTCTTTTTTTGAGACAGGGTGTGTGTGAGAAGAGAAGCAGCCTCTTAAGGTCTTGCAAAAGGAAACCATACACTGGTGTTCTCCTTTATTTTACACTCAAGAAGTCAGGCAGGCAGTTGTACAGAAAAGTGTTTTATCTGGGAGACTCATTCCATTGGTTTTCAGCCTGTGTGCGTTACTTGAATCTGGCCAAAAGAAGTGACTGCAGTACACAGCCCATATTATCCAGTTGGTGCAGTTCGGCAGTGTGCCCAGGGTCTCCTTTTTTTTTTATAAAAGCTGTGACCAAAAAAATTCCTAGGCAAATTTTTTTTTTATTCCATGCTTTTCTAAAACACTATCTAAATTCACTCATCCAATGTAACATAGTTCTGTATAGTAATAATTCTGGCAGAATTATTTATTTACGTAGATTTACTAGAACCAACCAACAGAGTAATGTTCCTTGACTAATGCAAATCTTAATGTCGTATATTTTCCTGTACTTTCTAAAAAATTATTCAAGATAATTTGATCACTCTTCTACCCATAGAAATTAATATGCAAGCTAAAAGGCACCCATCAAAGGGCCTGTGAAACAGAAGCATCTAAGGCTTACCAGGCTTATTTTGCACTGGTTACAGGTAAACTAATCAAGGAAATACCTAGATGCCAGGAGAACAAAAATATCAAGCTGTGCTTCTTTGTCCCAATAAAAGCCTGTCCATAATCTGAGTTACTAAGTGACCTTCAGCACTACTCCATTTGAACCGCGTGTGCCCTCTAGCAAAGCATTACGTCCTCTGTTTTCATTTTTAACATGTACACACGCAGGCACATATACCCACACCCCTTCGCTGTCAGGCTCCTGTTTCATCTGATGACTTTCGCTCCCTCCTTGCCTCATGCTGTGCATCCATATAATTCAATTCCTGGCATTGTTCATTGCCTGGCGAAATGGAGATAAGACACGTTGCCCCTGATTAAATGCAGCCCATTTCTTGTTTCAAAAAGCGCTTTTGGGCAAAAAAAAAAAAAAAAAAAGGAAAGGAAAATTAAAATATGCAGCTTCAGAAAAAAAATATGCAGTAGGCAGTTTTGCAGCACAAAAATAAAATAATATAACTAAATATATTCACTTGAAGTAGAGGGAAAGAGAAGGACATAAATGACAACTATTGTCCCTTCCTGGAATGCAGAGCTAAAATGAAGTCTATATTTCCAGGCAGCCATGCCAGTTCTGTATATATGTGTGAGTTTACATTTTGTGCTTTCCTATATCCAGGTCCTTTAGCTTTTCAGAGAAAAGGATGAATAACTGAAGTATGTGTTAATGTCCTCTGCCTGTTCACTGCTGATAAAATATTTTTTTAAAAAAATACAAAAAACTACAATGCATTCCCCCCCCCACCCGCTGCTGCCCAAAAGCCTGTGTACTTAGCAGTCAAAGACAGTTTTCCTGATTCTCACCACAATGAATGGCTCTCTGGCAAATTCATGTGAATTTAAGTCCAATCTGAATTGAAATGAGGGTGTTACATTAGTTTGCATAATAGCTGAAGAAAGAAATAGAAGTGCTCAATGCCCAAAAAGGAGAGGTATGAAAAATTCCCTCGTGCTCTGCTTTTCATGTGTTTTTTTGTTTTGGTGGGAGATGTTTAGTTAATGCATGAAATCACATTTTTATCGTCACATTCTTAAAAGATCCACTTCACTTGTACGCTCGCTGTCTATCACTTGGCCTGCCTATCTCTATAGCTTTTTCCAAAGGCTCAGATGGGAGGAAGATGTACACAGAAAGATTATTTCTGTGCTGTTCCTCAATACTGGGGTGGGGAGAAAGGAAATGGAGAAAACTGGGGGAAAATAGCAAGGTAGTTGGGAAAAAAATGTCATCTGCTGCTGCAGCAGGAAGATAACCAGTCTTCAAAGTGCTCTCTACCAACTAGAAAAATGGGCTTTGCAAATCATTTTGCATTATAGTCTCTCTTTGATCTTCCATAATATGGAATGGCCTTAATACTCTTCTCCATCACTCAACGCTCCCCTCCCGTTTATCTCTCTCAGAATCAAGCTGAGGCACATTACAGAGGCCACAAGCATGCCCGGAGACTCAAAGCCATTGAAGCAGTGAAAAATAAGCACAAGACAGCTGACAATAGCAGCAGCAGCCAAGAAAAAATGGCTAACTTTGAAGCTGCACTAGATATCAGCAGAGACACCACCACCAACAGCAGCAGAGGTAAGGGGCAAGCTGATCTAGGAAGAGGCATTCTTCTAGATAGATTTTAGTTTGGGGAAATTTTCATATTTTCCTGTAATTGACCTCTTCTGTTGAGTAGCAGAAGAATAATCTTAGCTGAGATGCCACTATAATGGAAGGAAATGCTAGTTACCTTAAAGGCTAGTTAATCTTAAAACCACTATTCAGAGGAAAATAAATGTCTTCCTTTTTTATTAGCACAACCCAGTAGCTTGCTAGGATTGAGCCAACCAATGGGAGAACATTGCAACCTCCTGCTGATGTCCCCGACAGAGGAATCACCAGCCAAGATGACTGGCGTCCTGTCCCTGGTGTCCCCATCAGTTTCAGAGCCCTTGGAAGTTGCTTCAGATAGTGCAAGTGTGAGACCAGCAGCAGCAGCTGGTATGGAGGTGCCAACAACTGAATCTGGAGGAACCGCCGGCTCAGCAGCAGAGGTGGAGAAAGAGGGAAAGAAAATCAAGCAGCACTTGTACTGTCCCACTTGCAAAGTAACAGTTAACTCTGCCTCTCAGTTGGAGGCTCATAATTCTGGTAAGGAGCCTTCACGTGGGTTTTCTCCAGCTACTCCGTAAAAGGCCAAGCTAGACGTATAATATATCTACCACTGCTGTAAAAGATATGACATCTGGAGCCTATTGCATGTAGCTCATGATAATTCACTTTCAGAGGCATCTGCAGGATGCAAGGCTTTTGGCAAAATGATGAAATCAGAGTCACAATGCAAATGTCACACCTTTTGTACATGCATGCAATCATCATGGTACATATACAAAAGGGGGAGAATTTGCATCACCATGGTGCAGCACTGTTTTCATTATTTGCCTTCTTGCCCACTCCAATATCTCTATTCATTTCACCTCCCAAAAGCATTTGTCTAGGTAGAGATACTGGATCAAGGTAGTTCCATTGTAGCAGTAAGAGGGATAAGTTACTCCTCTTCCTCGACAGAAAATGTTGAATGCTACCAAAAATACACCATCTTGCCTCATTGATATTGATAGACTTTAATAACTGAAGCTGACAAAACCATAAAGAAAACTTCCCCAATCTGGCATCCTTCAGATCTTCTGGGATTGGGAACTCCCAGAATTCTCTATACGTGTGGAGGCTGCCACCTAGAGAAGGTAATTTATTAATCTATTTTTATTCCCAATGAACAGATTTTGCTTCAGTTAACGAAATTTTGTGCTAAAAACATACGTTTCTGACTTTGGGGATTCTTAACCAATACCTAACAATTACTAAATATTTGTTTTGTTCATTAGTGGATGTTTTATTTTAGCATTCTTTCAGCAGACATGATGATAGGCTATCCATAGAATTGAAGAGATACAGTAGTATGAAAATCATGAGAGGCAGGTATGTTGAAACCAGGAGTCATTTACAGATACTGCCTGCCAGATTTTACAATAACTGTGTACTTTGTCACTTGAGTAAAATGAAATGTATTCAAAAGCTTGAGAGTTTTACAAACTCTTTGCTTTCTGAATCCAAAAATAATTGGACAAATAGGTTTGTTTTCTACTAACATATTTATCGTCTGCTGATTGCATAATTCTTGAAAAGAACTGGGATTCCAAGTTCTACCTGTATTTTTTCTGTTCTGTTCTCAAAGAAAGAACAACTGCATTTTTCTATCCTTACATGATGCATTCATTGTAAGATCTCTTTGCAGCAAGCCAATTAAGAAGCCAAGAAGGTGTAATATTTCCTTTATTTTACATATATGTATGTGTATGTATATGTGTATGTATGTGTGTGTGTGTATATACATATACATATACATATAATATACATATACATATACATATACATATACATATATACATACATACATACATACATACATACATACATACATACATACATTTGTTTTCTGAGGTTTTCGCAGGTGTTTGTATGTAGGTCTTTGGTTATTCGGGTTTTCTCCCGCGTAGAATTGGAAGTGTGTGTATATATATATATATATAAAAATTTTATTTTTCCCCACCTTCATCATCTTTCAATTATTTCATTGTTTCTTTTCTTATCTTCCCTGATCTGATGATTGCTTAACATGCTTGACACTGTAGTTCAATACACTTGGAGTACATTAAGCTAAAGTAGATTAGACTAACCCTCATGAAGAATTTTAATGAACTTGAAAGCCTACTTGCTGTTATAAAACTCTTGGATTTTATTCGGTACTGTTGTTTTCAAATTGTAGAATTTTCTGTCTGTAAAATAATGAACTGCTTTATTTTGACTCTTAATTTTTAAGGCTGTCATTTTGTTATGTCTTACGTTTTCAGGCAAAACAAGGAATTACAATGATGAGGATAGTTAAAAACAAAGAAAAATCAATTCATTTGGGATTTGACCTTGCCTTACTTGCTATCCAATAGTAGTAAAAATAATAATAATAATACAAATACATGGTACAATTGTCAGAAAGGCAAGATAAGATCATGAAACCTTTAAAAAATATAGATTATCATAACAGAATACATAAACTTATACCACTGTTTCTAGCCTGGTTGCCTTAACCACTATTGGCCCCCAAATGGTATATCAGATATAACAATATATTAAGATGCATAAAAAGTGCATTTAACAAGGAAAGAAGAATTTATAACATGTAATGCAGATGTTATGTCAGAGACCTGCCCTAGGCTTTCCATAGCCAACTTTATTCTGGCATCATGGAATTGTGCCATCCTATTGATAACTGGCCGTGTCTGCTTCTTAGATCACTTCCTGCTTATCAAGATGCAAGAAGCAAGTTTCCTTCTTTTGTTCCCAATTCATCTTCTCTTCCCCACTCCCAGGAGCAAAGCACAAATTGATGCTGGAAGGGCAGACTGTTTTGCCAAGGCGAAGCCGAGGGAAGGTTCTCTCTCGAGTAGGACACAAGTCCAAACGGATTGGCAGCAAGGGCAGCCTCAACATTCAGAACAAGGCCTTCCAATGCCAGGTGTGCGAGATCTTTGTCAACTCTGAGACACAACTCAAACAGGTAAGCAGATCAACCTAAACAGCTCTTCTGATTGTCTGGAGGTCTGTAATGAGGGTCACGCTGAATTTTGGATATTTTTGAAGGAAGCATTTTAAGATGGAAAGAAAAGAGGGAATAGAGAATTAATCTTAACACCCTACTTCCACCCCCACATTTCAGCTTAGGCCTTTTATTAAGTATCCATTAAGATATTTAATGAAGTTAAGAGATGAAGTTACATTGCAGAAATTTTACTATTCTGTAGTGCGGGCTAAAGTGAAGGTTGCACTAAGACACCTGAAGCATCATCTCAACAGTTCTTGTAAAATAAGCAAAATCACATCTTAAAGGGCAATCATGCGGGGTGGGGGTGGGGGGAAGGAACACGGAAAGCCAGCTGCTCATGTCTTTCCCTGCCTTAAATTTCTCTGCTCCAAATGTTGTCCTAGAGCTAGACCTAGGCAGTTTTCCACTCTTAGTACATTTGAAGTTTATACAATATTTGCCTTCCAGGAAATCCTACACAAATGGCTTTTCCAATGACAAGAGAATGATCATAGTTAATGTATTAAGTGCTTCTTTATAAAGTATCTAATTGATTAATTAATTGCAAATACTTTGTGCAACTTGAGTAAAAGTAACAAGAAGGCTAAAAAGCAGCAGCATACCAAGAACAAAAACAACAATACCGAGAACCCTTTATTCCACTGACCCCCGTTTAATGGACATCAGATGTAATTGGGCAAGATTTCTGTCTGAACAACTTCCTGAAATAAGAGACAAATCTTTTCAATCCAAAGCAGTCCACACTAAATGTTACATTTACATTACATTTACATTAATTTCATGCCATCATGTTGATTTACCTTATTTGCATAATGATCTGAATATACTAATAGTGGAAATTACATCATTTGCATTTATTTACGTCATTTGTGTAATAACATCATTACCCAAATAATGTCATTCACGTCAAAGTGTGTCGTTTGCATAATGACATAATGACACAAATCACCATAAATGATGTAATTTGCAATTTAATCACCATTGAGGAATAATAGACACCCCTCCCCCAGTGGGGAGCTTTTACTATATTAGTAGCATCTCTAGTAACTATGAATTCATACACATATACAGAGTAAATAGCAATTTAACTCTTCAGACACTTTTTAAAAAGTAGCAGCACAAGAACAGAATTTCAAAATAACCAGCAAGAAGAGAAAGCATACTGTTAGAGGGAAGCATTTGCACCTTTGTAGAACAGGAGAATATTTGAAGAGGAAACATTTGATTGAGTAAGGAAACATCATAGAAAAGGGTTGGGGACCATTCAAAAGGCTGAGTACTGTTGAGAAGTTTGTCTTTTAGAGATAAATATAGCACAAATGCTGATAACAAAGGCAGGAGAACCTCTCTGGCAATCCTCAACATTTGGGCAGGCTAAGCTGATATGAGTATTTCAAATATCCCAGTTAGTTTTCATTTCAGCCACTCAGATTAGGAAAGAATGCACTCTAGAAATTGACATCTGGGGTGCCATCTTGAAGTTTTTTGCCATTAGCAAGAAAATGTAGCAATAAATCACGTTCTGCTAGTCTCTTATTTTGTGCTTTCCTTCTTTAAAGTCTTATCTTAGTAGTAATAAACAATATAAGAAATACAGATATCATTAAAATTCAAACAATTAACTAATTTGGGTTACTTTTATTCAGTTTTGGTCTCTGCACAATTATTTTAAAATTCCAATATTTCCAGCAGGATATAGGCAAATAATGTCTAGATAAACAGAAAAGAAAGGAAGTACAAAATAGTTGGATATTAGAATGTAAGTGATTCACTTTAAATTTAAATAGAGCATTTTGAATATGCTCTATTCAATATACGAATAAATATATGAATGAATTTATATATTTATATATAAATATTATAATTAATAAAGATAATTATCCTGCTCTGCATTTATCTTATTAAGGAAAAGATTGAAAGACAGATACATACACATTTCTCACCACAAAGACAGAGTGGTATCTATCAGGAGACAAAAGTGTCAGAGCAAATGGTCAAAAATACTAGAGACTTGAGGTCAAAGTGATATCAAAAAGCTTGTCATATTAATCCTGTTGGTCCAGACTGAAGCAGAACAAATACTTCAGCATAATTGAAGACACGTCTTCCAGTTCCTTCATCAAATAGAAAACACAGAATAGTCTAAAGAACTGTCATTAGAAAGTTTACTACGGGTGACAAAAGGATATCAAGGTGCTTTTATACATTGATAATGGTGGGAGCTTTTGTTTTTTCATCTACAGCATATGAGCAGTAGACGTCACAAAGACAGGCTTGCAGGGAAGCCACCAAAGCCCAAATACAGCCCGTACAGCAAACTGCAGAAGAATACTGCCCTGGCAGTGAGTATTCTCAAGGTATTTGTCACAGAAGGTGCCAGGTAACTCTGTGGTGTATGGAAAATGTGGAGGACAATAAGGAATTTCCCCTGGTGTCTTAATTATTCTTCAAAATCCAGTCACTCACTCAGTGGAGAATTGTGTCTGAACATTAAACTGTCTCATCCTACCACAAAATTGCAGATAGTGCTGCTCTCAGCAACCTTTGGAAACTAGAGTGAGAGACAACTGCTTGCATGAGAGGAAACAAGACGAGCAGTGGGACAGATCAGATCAAGAGGTTACAATTCCCAGTATTCCCTTTTCTCTTTATGCATCTTCTTGTAGTGCATAATTAATTTAGCGGAAGTAATTGTAGCAGGACTGTTACGGCAACCGTGACACCAGATAGCTGTTTAAAAAGTACTGGGCAAATACATGGATAGATCTACCACTATTTATGTATATATGAAAAATCCTCCAGGAGCTGTTGAGCACCAACAAGAGGTAGACTCGCCTTATAGTACCCTCCTTTTTTAAAAAAGGAGGGGCTTTATATCAGTGGTGAAATTCAAATTTTTTTTACTACCGGTTCTGTAGGCATGGCTTGGTGGGCGTGGTGTGGCTTGGTGGGCGTGGTAGGGGAAGGGTACTGCAAAATCTCCATTCCCACCCCACTCCAGGGGAAGCATACTGCAAAATCCCCATTCCCTCCCCACTCCAGGGGGAAGGATATTGCAAAATCTCCATTCCCACCCCACTCTGGGGCCAGCCAGAGGTGGTATTTGCCGGTTCTCTGAACTACTCATAATTTCTGCTACCAGTTCTCCAGAACCTGTCAGAACCTGCTGGATTTCACCCCTGCTTTATATTCTTAACAGGAAAAACCATTTTAAAGGATAAGAAAAGCTACAGCTGGGGAGGGGGGGGAAGGAAGCTGTTCGCTTATCTAGTTATACCATAGCCTAAGTCTCCTGCACATATATATACATACATAAATACACACAAACACACTACACTTGGGCCTCTTCACTGCGGGCAATAGATGGATATTTGAACTGATTCAATAGGGCAACTTGCTATATTCTTTTAAACTTCATCCTACTCCAAAAGTAAAAGAAACTTTGTCACAATAAAGTCATACAGTATTGTTGTCAGCCAGGAATAGAGAATATATGGTCCTCCAGATGATGTGAAAATATAATTCACAGCATCCCTCACCATTCATTGTATTGTTGAAATTTACCGAGCAACACTTGGAAGGTTTCATACTGGCCATTCTTATTTATAGTATTTGCATTTATAGTATTCTCAAAGTACTATTAATTCACCTACTTCAGAGCTGAATCAGGCTGTCAAATAAATTTTGATCCTGAAGCCCCTGGTTTAAATTATTTACTGCAATATTAAAGCAAATCTTCTCTATGTTCCCCTTGTCTTTTGATGCTGCTTTGCTCATGTACCATGTGTATCTCTTTGTGCTTCTTCCCTGTCCCTCATTCTCACTCTTCACAGTCCAAAGTGGCTCTGCAGAAGCATCTTACGAAGACCTTGGCTGCCCGGTTCCTGCCAAGTCCCCTGGCACCCGCCACTGTGTGTACTTTGCCCAGCCCATTAACTCTCCGACCAGCTGCTGCTACCCTCTTCCAAGCACCCATCTTTGGACCAGCGCTTTTTCGATCTCCCCCAGGCTCTGTGCGAGCAGCTACAGGGCCCATTGTTTTTGCCCCTTACTAGAGAAACCCCAAAGGCTGTTTGGGTGGGGAATTGTAGACCATAGCTGTACAAAGAAAATTGGGGAGGGTGGGTAATTTTACAGGGCTGTATTCTGAACGAAGGAAAAGCAGAATCTTGGAACTGTTTGAAGTGGAACTTCTTTCGTTTGTTTGTTTGTTTGAGATTTCCACTTGTGTCATTAACTCAGTTATACTTGGAAATAACTTTCCTATTGCCTGATTCTCCCACAATGCACCAATCTTTCTAACTAGTAGTATACCTAGAAGCACAATCTCACGTATCCAGATAGTTATGTGCTAAAGTCAAAAGTATGCATTCAAAATATCTGTGAACTTAAAAGTATCTGTCACTTTAAAACTGAATTCTATTAATTAGGAATTTGTGTAATTGGGACTCCAAAGAGGCTTCTTTTCCAAAATGCACGTTTATGAAAATCAGATTTGCAGTTCCTAATTCAATTTACATTCCCCTTCCCACAAATACAGATTTAAGGAAAATACTAATGATTGATAAATACTTATTGTTCTCCTTGTAAGTTACTAAGACATCCCTATGTCTCATAAAGGAACTGAAATAGGTTTTTGAATTGAAGGAGAGAAAGGAGAAGAGAATATCTATTTAAGTGTTAAGTACAAGAGAGAGAGAGAAAAGAAAAGTGCTATTATGTAAGTAGAAAACTGTACGTTGACAGGTTTTTTTGTTTATGTATGGAATAAGAATGGGATTTAAACAAAGAACGGTATAGAGATAGAATTATTTCAGATCTTAAGTCAGCCTTTCCCAGTTGGGTGTCCTTTCAGCTGTATTGACAAGACCCAGAATTTTGAGCCAACCTGAGAATTCTTGTAGTTTCAACATAACGAAAAGTTACCCTGGTGGGGAAGATTGTCTGGATTGATGGTCATCTTTAGAGATATTATGGTGTGTATTGCCTAAGGTGAAGGAGTGATAAGAATATGGGACCCTGTAGAAAATGCACAGTAGGGTTCATACATAACGTGTGTCCTTGAATATTTGAAACTACTTCTTTCCCAATTTCTGTTATCATATTCATGATAGTCTAAAGGAACAAACCACTGCTGGGATCTACTTAAACTTACTGAATGAAGAAGAAAGACTGGAGCCAGGATTTCCATGGTGATGTTTGAGGACACCTGGATTTCATATTTTAGAAGCAAAATCCAAAACATATAAAAGTTACTCTATTAGAAATATGTTACTAAGCACTAGTTCCAATATAATGCTTTTGAATTTACTGAATTTATTACAAGTATGCATATTGCAATTTTGTGCAAATGAGCTAATATTGCTTACTCTCAGATAATATTGTATTCTGCAATTTTCTGGTTGGCTGAAAAAAAAAAGTACCTAGTTCATAAATATCTAGGGCTATAGTAGTGGGTCAGAGATTGCTGCCCTATTTCCCATTGCAATGCATAGAATGTTGCTGCTCACAAACCAAATTCCACAAGACTGAAAGTTGGAAAAGATGTATACACAATAGCCATTCACTTCAGCAAATGAAGCAAGCCATGGACAATCTTCCAATATTATTAGTTATTGGATATAGGAGTTTATTTTTTCACTTGCCTAAGTTATGGGTATCAGTCAAATACAAAGCATGAACTAAAATCTATTGGCTGAAGCTTTCTTCAGTTTTGCTTGTAGCTGTAATCTTAAAATTATTAAGATTATTACAGAGAATAATCTTAAAAGAAATAAGGGAATTTTTTCCAGGGCAGTTCTTTAGATTTGGCTCATTTTAGTGTGTGTGGGGGGGGATGCTTATAGTAATGGGCTGAATTTGTCATTACAGTGCTCACTTGTGCAGATTAATCTTGATATTTGAAAAGAGAGAGGTTATTTGGAGAGATTTGGCAGAACACTTTTGCTACTCCAGGAAAGAAAAGCAGGGAATTTTATCTTATGTGAGAGACCTCAACTAAGAGTTTTGAACTGTATAACAACAGGTGACGATTTACCAAATGCAGGAGGATATTTAACTACTTGTTTAGTGGCTGGTTGGTTGTGTCATCCTGGAATGAATGTTTCCTGTTACTTGGCGGAACATTTCAAAATATCACTTTACTGTTTGTTGATATGTGGCCACAGAAGCAACAGAATAAATACAGGAAAAGGAGAGCAGATTAAAAAAAAAAAAAATTAGACAACCGCATATGAAAGAGTAGGTGGCTCAAGACCTTTTGAGCAAACAGTATGAGCAAACTTTGTTGAGGAGTAACTGGCAGATCCAGTAGGATATCAGATTCAAGGTCATGAGGTTCCAACAATTCCTACCCACTTCCTGTTGCCATACTTTATCACTTCTGCCATTCATTTAGACTGGCAGTAGTTCTCCAAAATCTTTCCTCATTCCTGCAGTTCCAGATAATTGTATAAGCAAGTCTTCTCTAAATGGTGCTTTCCAGATGTATTGAGCCAAACTATATGCTGGATGAAAATAGAGTTTTAAGTGCTGACATATCTGGGGAGCATCTTGTTGGGAAGACATGTTTAAGCTAATTGCACCAAATGTTTCATACTCCAGATTGCTTTTCAGGATTCTCCTTTTCCTTTGGAACTCTCAGTTCCTTAAAACCAGCCTTAACTCAAAATCTGGAACTATTGGACACTACAGGCAAGCCATAGAAAAAGACCATGATTGTCATGCCATTCTTATAAACTTCCCAGAGGTATATAGTCTGACCATTATTGAGGTTCCTCAGTGCCAGTTCTATTATATCATGCAACTAATCACTTTAGCAAGACATCATGTGAAGCTAAGTTTTTTTCCCCCCTTTGATCCAGTATTTCAGTAAATACAAATCTTATAAACCTGTCAACTGAACCAACCATCCTAAATACAAAGCTAACCAGTGGTCAGTATTATTGGAAAAAGCTGAAATAAAACAAGCAATTATTGATGGCCACAACTAAGTGATGAAACATTCCAATCTATGCAAAATACTAATGGAATTATTGTTATTTGGTTTCCAGGCCTGTGTTATGGTTGTTTTGTGTCCAAAAGACAAGGATGAGATCTGTGGCCAAAATCTATACATAAAAAACAAAGGCATTGCTGTCACAGTGATCTTGCTGATATGAAATATTCCTTTTCATTGTAGAACAGCAACATTCCTTCTATTTATTAGATATGGAAATGTGCCAGTTGGTTTAGCCTGCTGAAACATAAGTATTGCCATGAGGAGCAGTGTACTACTAGCTGCCTAAAAAGTGGTTGATTTTGAGTGCCAGGATAACAGAGTTGAAGAGATCTGTCCGAGAACAAGAAGATAGTCTGTCAGTCCATTTGCAATGCAGCCTAGTTACCTTAATGTGACAATAGACACAAAAATATTTATTGTTTTCGATTTAACATTTATAGTTACCGGAGGTCCACTTGAAGCCATCCATCCTGTGTTTAAGACAAATACTTTTCCAAGTGTGAGTCGGGAACAATAACTACTTGTAGGAGTAAAAATGGTTGATGTTATCTGAATAGCACCCATGATCTCACCAAAGCATACAACTTGCAAGTCAGCTTTGCAAGTATGTCTATAAGAATGAGGAGAGCAAAGGGTGAAACAAATATGTGATATTTCAGGGGGAGAAATTCTGATGGATTCATAGGGAAAAGTGCAAGATGGTCTAATGTCCAAACATTCAGCTTAATATAATGTATATCTTTTCTTGCAAAATTGGATTCATTCTTTAAAAGTGATTGCTTTCGTCATCTGTAGAATAATGTCATAAAACTATTTATGCTTTTTGGTGATTTTGTGTTGAACAGTAACTGGTTCCTAAGGCAGTTACCTTCTGGAGGAAAACATGCAAACCCACTCAGAATTCAACTAACACCCACATAAAATTGCTGTATATTCACCAAACCTCTGCTTCCAGCTGCTCTTAAAGCTACTTCCTAAATACTGTACTTTCCAATCTGAAACACTCAGTTTGTAGCTGAAAGAAATTTTGCTAGATTGCACTAATTTGTTTAGCTTGCTCATTTCAGTATAGGTTTTGCAAATATGGTGGCAGTTTCATTTCGGGGGACATGGTTATGTTACTTTATAATTTCAGCAGTTTTCTGCAAGTAGGCTGGTGATAAAAAAAAATAACTCTTGGCAAATAATATTTGACAAGAGGCAAAAAGGGGCAGAAATGGGAGTAGGAAGAGCTATAGAGAACACAAGGTTTACCAGATGTCATCATCTAATCATCATCCACTTAACATTTCTCTCCCTTGGCTTTTCTCCTCAAGCATGAAATAGAATCTTTCTTTTGCTTTTAATCTTAGCATCTCAGGATTCCAAAACAGCTGCCCAGATGACTCCCTAATAATCCTGAAAGTATCTGAAAATATTGGGAGTGGTTCTGTCAATTTAGCCCGGAGATCTTCAAATGGGAAACTATTGCCATAGTTAGCTATTTCTAACTTATTCAGGTTCCAGTAAGATTTACAGCACAATCCTGTGCATGCTTTCCGAGATTCATGTTATATTAAGTTCAGTGCAGCTTCCAATTCCGTAATTTTGTTTAGGATTACAGCCTTGACAAATGCTGGTTTAAATTACATCAGGAAAAGTGGATGTGGTAGATTAAACATTATAGGAATTTGCAAGGAAATCTATGGTTGAATCGGAGAATTGAATCAAACCAGGTATAGAGGACTATAATGCTTATGATAGTTTCATTTCAGGGTTCTTGCAAATGTTCTCCGTTGTTTAATGTTAGTCTGCTTCAATTTCCCTCAAGGTTCTGTGCTGCTTCATACCAAGCATATTTTCATAATACAAGTAATTAAAAGAATAGGAAATGTATAATTCTTTTTTTAAAGTGCCTTATTCAATTGGGCAGATTTTTAAAAATGATTGCAAAAACAATGTGCTTCCTGCTCATTCTCATATCTTGTGTATCATCTATACAAATTTATGCATATTTAGCTAATAAATTTCTGTAATATGGTAGCAATATTAGAGATGACCTTCTTATAACAGAAAATATTTGTCTTGTTCTGCATGAAATGCATTGTGACTAGGTTACTATCTCAGTTGCTACCGCTAATATTATTCTATCTGTATAATCAGGTGGAAATATTTATTTTACTGGGCTTATAGGTCATTTTAATTACTATTGAGTCTAAGAGGCATATATACCTGACATTTATAAATCAGATTCAAACATATGAATACAGTTATAAAATCAGAAACATATTAGTGTACATAAATACTAGGTGTATTTATTCTAGTAATTTAAAAAAAAAACTTAACGATTTTACAATACCCCAACTGCAAAGGCCTGCTAATCAGCCAAATTTTAATGGTCTTCTTAAAAGCCAATAAAGTAAGAGCTATTTGACTTTATGGGGGAATGTCTCTATGTTCGTTAAAAAAATAAAGAAAACTTCAGTGTTACATACTCAATATAAATATGTAAATAATTGCAGCAGCTACTTGCTTGTGCTAAGTAAGAATCGGCATTCAGGTGATCAAAAAGGAAACTTGTAAATTAGGAAAAAGTTGGTTTTCCTTCCCTGCTGAACTTCTCAGACAGCCAAAGCACTACAGATAGACTAAAGAGAGAGAAATAAAATTGATTGGTGGGGGGCGGGGGGAACCCAGACCCTTAATAAGTTAGGATGTTGCATTTCTTCATTTAGTGAGTTATTGATATTGCAAAGGACTCCATCTTTGGAATGTGGCTGTCCTGTTTTCCAGCACTAATTGCACTGTGATTCTAGAGATGAGCCCCAGTTAACCCTAGCAACTCTGAGCAGAATTTAGAGGCACATCTTGCTCTGAAACATCAATACGTCTAGCTAGTACAGGTATTGTGTTATAGATTCCAAAACATTTGGGACTGTAGATTTGTAGTAAGTAGACTGGAATAAATTGAATATTACAAAAAGATTATAGGAATCCAGTTCAGGATGCAAAAGGCCTTTAATAAAAGAATGAAATGGGGTCAGGAAGAAGAAGAAAAGATGTGTGGTTTGATTACGGGGGGGGGGAAGTTAACAGAAGACAAGTACTGACAGATTATATTGAAATAAATAATATCAAATCATAACTGGAATAATCTACCTATAGACAGCGCAAAGGACTGTGGTAGGCTAATATTTTGTTTGGCATATTAATAAGTTGCAGAAGTACTTTACTCAATGATTCATCATATGCTCCAGTTTTATGGATGTGAATGCAGTACTATATTTTTGTGGCGTTATCACCGATGTTTGGAGCATAGCCATTTGCAATGAATATAAAATAGTATCATTTTCTATTTTTGCCATATACATATATAGTTATTTATGGGCAGCTTGATAAATTGCATGAATCCTATTTTTGTTTACCAAAACAAGCCATTATGCAAAAAAAATAAAAAAAACATAAAGCCAACTTCACCCTACAGTATTCCATGGAACAAATCTTAACTTTTCTCCACTCTGATGATCTAGTTTGACTGATGGATTATGATGTTTTCAGAATCCAAGAGGGTCTGAAAAGAGGCTTCTGCTTTAGTTGTGTTGCTTTCTTTGGGATGTTACTGAGTCTTGTGTTTCATAAAAAGATTCTCTTACAGTGACCCTGAATGCTATCTGCAGGATTCTGCTTTATCTTTTAGTGGCCTGGATATGCTACTTGAATATTAAATTACTGTAAAGTTCCAGGCTCCTTATAATGACTTATATATACATCTTTAGCTAACTTACAGGAAATTTTCCATTTATCTGAATGCCATCTTTCTTGTTGGCTGATTTGAGAAATCCTCTGGCCTTTCACTGTGATCCCTCATTTCCTTTCGCATTCAGGATAGTTCTGTTAGTTGTGTATCTCCCTTTTCTGAAACTCCTCATCCTACTGTGTTGAAATATTTGACCTATCACTGTGCTTTCCTCCCATGCAGTAGTGCACTGTTTTGATTCTTTTTCCAGATATATGAACTAGACCCGTGATGGCGAACCTATGGCACACGTGCCAGGGATGGCACACTGAGCCCTCTCTGTGGGCACACACGCCATCGCCAGCTGCTCTTACAGGTTCCGTTGCAGTCATGTGTGCCGGCCAGCTGCTCTCTTTTGGGTTCCGTCACGCGCATGCACACCGGCCACCTGCTTTCTTCTGGGTTCTGGTGCTCCGGCGCACGTGCGCACACATGCTCACACACACTCCAGTTTTGGCACTCAGTGCCGAAAAGGTTAACCATCACTGAACCACACTGTCTTTTAATAGACTACATGGGCTTCTTTCATACACCCCACTGGAAATGTGCACACTGAGGTTGTGGAAATGAATATACAAGAGCAGTATATGTACACAAACACACGTTATAGGATACAGATACACAAAACATGGAGTGAACTGTGGCTTCTTATGACTGTATCATTTATTGTAGAAGGTTGCTCTTGAACATTTGATTTTCAAAGAATTCCTTACAAGGTCCACAGAAAGAAAATAGGATCAAAGAAGCAAAATGCTTGCCTTTTGTCAAACGAGAAAAATCTGTATTGCTCAGAACAGACAACTTGTAAGGCTAAGTTCCAAGATGGCAGAAGAGAAGTACATCTTTGTTAATAGACATCTTACAAAATTTCCAGCACATGTAGATTAAGGTATTCTAGATAAAATTCTGATAAGCCAGAAATCTGCTCTTGATTCTACCACCCAAATCTGTCCTTTTTCTCTTCTTTATAGTTCTAGATTTATCTCACCTTGTCTTTGAATGTGCTTGCTTTCTGCCCAGTTGGAAGACCTTCATCACTTTTCTCATTTTTCTTCTGTACCCCCCTCTTCACTGGTGTGCTTCACTGTTTTGGGTGGCAGACTTGGAAAATAGGTCATAAAAGCACCAGTGCACCTTGAACCCTAGTGGTGCTGCTTGTAGTTTCATTGTCTTTCCATTGGTTTAGATTTTCCAGCAAACCCTTGGCCTAAATGCAGCTGACCCTCAATCCTGTACTGGCACTAGGGTTTTTGATATATTTGGCACTTTAACCCCTAGAAGCCATTTCTTCTGCTAATAGTACTATAGCAAAAAGCTGCTTTAGGAGCGCAGTGTGGATGCTTTCTTTTATAGCCCTATCCCTCTGAATCCAAAGCATTAATGCCTTCATATTTAGCATAGAGTATAATATACTCCAGGTAGTGGGTAGGGCACCTAGGCCATATCTCTTAGTAGTGTGTGTGCCCCCTACTCCCAACCGATTTTTTAAAAAGTGATGCACAACATTTAAACTTTTATTTAAGGTGAAAAGACATTCAAATGACCTTAGGGACATGGCCAGTATATTGTTTTTCCTCTGCCCGCTGATGATTCAATGTATATTTTTGATGTACCATATAAATATATATATATATATATATACACACATATACACACACACATATATATATATATTATAAAAATGTTGAAATAAAAGTAAAAATATTTTGATAATCAAATCTCCTGTGTTGCTTGATTGATAAATTCAAATTGTTGGGCTAAAGATCAACATGTGCTAGATTCAAGTCCATCTTCGACCATGGGAGTTCACTGAGGGAGTTTGAACAAGTCACTTTCAGCCCAAAAGGCCACTGTTTTAGATAAAATTAGGGAAGGATAGTCCATAAACTGCCTTGAACTACTGGAGGAAATGTCATAAACATTTTAATAAGAGGAAACAGCTGTCAGTTCTCTTGACATGGTAGTGGATATATCTGCAGTTCATCTGCAGTTGCATTGGACTGCAGGTTAAAATGCCTTGGGAACTTTTCAATGTCTTCAGCAGCTAGTGCAGTGAAACCATTATTACTATTGGGAGTCTATTACATGATTACAGCAGTGCACAAATTTGATCAATAACAATTAATTTCAGAGCTTGCATCTGTCACAAAAGGTCCAAGAGAAGTATCTTTATAAAATGTACACAAGGCTCTTGAACCAATACTTGACTAAAAGAATACTGTAGCGATGAAGGCCTGGTCCGCACAAATCCTAGATGAGATAAATGAAACTATTCTTTGGTTTCCCATTAAAATTGTATCTTCATAAAATAAAATCTCTCTGGCTGTTGAAAACTAGTCATAATGAGGGATTCTCCACTAACATCCTTTTCATCCCAGTTTAATCTGTTAATGACCTTTCTTGAGGTGGAGGGGATAGATCTTTATTATGAGCCACTTACAGACACATCCAGTTGAGGCATGCTTTATTGAATGCAATACATTTTGTTGTATTTGCACAACACATGCAATCCAAACTAGACTTTGGCTTACTGCAACAAAAATTCAACCATAGATTAAAATATATATAGGTTCAGCTATATAGCTAAAAATATATAGGCAAAGTATATAGACCAAGACAGTTTTCCTCTGAATTCTCTTCAGGATGTTGCATTTCCTCACAGTTAAGAGTCAGTGGGAAAGAAATGACTTATCAATGCAGTAGAAATTCTATACAATTTCGTTGCAGTGAACGAAAACTATAGAATAAATTGACAGCTCCCATTTATTTCTAGTAGCCTTGTTTAGGATAGGTTTTGGGTGCACTGCACTCTATTTAAACATGTACATGAATACCAAGGAAGAAAGCTCCAAAATCAGTCCCTCGTAGCCCAAAGTTATTTTACCATGCAAAGAACTTAATCTATTGAACCCAGGCCTTGGAGCTAAGGCAGTTTGGAGTTCTTTTTAGATTTGTATTGTTAACAGACAATGGATATCTTGACTGATTCTTATCAAAGTGATACATTGCGGGCCAGTCCACTGGTCAATGTCTGATCTCATCAGTTTGCTACGTTTAGTCTCTATAAACTCAGATCTGTATTTTCCAGAGTCCTTGATGATCTCTTTGTGGTCTTTGCTTAAGTTTGCAATTGATAATCATTATACCTCTTACAGAATAGAACACCAGATCCCTACATGCCATCTTTGACCTTCTAGAGGCACCAAGAGAAGATAAGCACGCAGAGGTATTCTTGCTATGTGCCCACACAAATGCACACCAGCTGAGCTTTCCATAAACTAGCTTGGCACACAGACAAATGACATGTTGCCTCAGCCAACTTTTTTTTAATTGCGGCATGTGTTTGCAAGTGAGAAATGGTAGCTGGAAGGGAAGGACATGTTTGTTCTTTATTTGGCTCTTAATTATTTCCCCTCTACACACAAACACGTTTTTCCCAGTCTGGCTCCTCAATCAGAAACAAAACTAAAATGTTATGAAAGAAAACTGGTAATAAACAGGAAAATCAAGTATCTCCCACTGCCCCTTTATTTCCTTCTGCAATGTATCTTTATGCAAATTAATTTGTTCTCATGGTTTCTCTATGGTTTAGCTACAACGAGGTAAGTCACATGAGTATGTTGGGCATTACTTCAGAATATAGTACAGGTAGTCCTCGATGTATAACCATTGATTTAGCGATTGTTTGAAATTACAATAGCACTGAGAAAAGTGATTTATGACCATTTTTCACATTTACTACTACTGCAGCATCCCCATCTCCAGTCACATGATCAGAATTTGGTCACTTTCACATGTATTTATAAGGGTTGCAATGTCCTGGGGTCACGTGATCACCTTTTGCAATCTTCTACTAAGTCAATGGAGAAGTCAGATGCACTTAAATGTGTTACTAAGTTAAAAACTGCTGTGATTCACTTAACTACTACAGCAAGAAAGGTTATAAAATGGGGCAAAACTCCTTAACTGTATTGCTTAATAATGTAAATTTTGGGCTCAATTGTGGTTATAAGTTGAGGATTACCTGTATTGCACTCTAACACAATTTTTATTCTTATTCCAACAATGAGTTGTATTTGCTGACATTGTGGCATTTATAGTTTAATAGACATTTTTCTTTAATATTCCTTTTGCAAATACGTAAGATATTTTTTTAAAGGTTTATTTTCTTTCACAAAGACCTTAAATGGAAAATAATTATCTTTGAATTTTTCAACAACAAATATTTTGTCTATAACCATAACTTTATTAAAATAATTACAATGCCATTTTTGTCCAATTTAAATCTTTCTGTTTAAATTATCTTCCCAATCCTCTCTCCCTAATCTACATTGGAAAAACTGGAAAAACTGGAAAAATAATTATATTTACATTGATGTTGGAAAGCTAAAATACATTTTTTAATTTATTGGTGTCATCTATTCTGACTGGGACACTGTGTTCTGTATTGTATTCAATAAAAGTTAATATTACACAAACAATTCAGAGCAGTGTAGAATCTGTTTTTAATCTGCATTTCAAGAGTTCATAAGCAACTAACATAGGAATCATGTTTCAATGCATTATGGGATAACAGCCTTACTCTGAGTTGAATCCATTTGATCATGATATCAGTTATATGAATTATTACATCCATTATCCAAATCAGGAACACAAAGTCACAGTGTTTGGAAGAGACATTCACAAAATAATAAAAATCAAATCCAGATCGAGGAAATTAATGATATATAAAAGATCACTAAAACTATTATCCCCAAACTTAATTTGTTGGTGGATAATGTGCTTTCCCACAAGTCTCTATTTGTATGTTTCCTCTTCTCCACAAGTTGGTCTCCTTATAAAAATACCGTTAGCTTCTAAAAAAACATTCTAGAATCTGCTAATTCAGGAACATGGAAGATAGTGGATTAATTTGGCCAGGAGGGCTTCAATACTGACTGAAAGAATATTCCTTTATTATTCTTCCTCGTGTTGCTATATCCATGGCTCACCCCTCCCTTTTCCACAACTTAAGAAATATTTCTGGGAACCCTGGATATTTCTACCATGGTATCCCTTCAGGGTACAAATCAAGAATAAAACTTAGTACCCTTAACAGCTATTTTCAGATTTAAAATGTGGGTTCTTTAAACAGTAAAAAAAAAATGAGACTGATTAAAAGATTGTTAAAAATCAAACCTTTAATGTGGTGTATTGACTATTTAATACACTAGGCACTGGGCATATGCAGGTACTATCTGCTTGATTTAAAATATATATATTTTAAGTGAAAAATGAAGAAAAAATTCTACACTCCTGTTTTGGATTTGGAAAGTTTTTTCTACCAAAACAAAAACAAATGATACAGAGATAGGAACAAAAGAAGTGCCTTATATGGTATCTGCTACTAGTTTCTGCTCTCTGGCAAGGCCAGCCCTGCCCTACATGCATACATTTTTACCAGCAATAGTGGTCCAACACCTGTGGGTTTCATCCATCCACAGAACCACTGCTTTTGTTCTTGCGGCTGAGTGGGAAGGTGGACTTGCTCTGTGGCTGCGTCATTTTGCTGGCTAAGTAGACAAAGGGGTCAATGAGACTCCGACGGTCAGCAACTGAGGTTTCCCACAATTTTACTTTCTCTGCCTTTGCCCAGTGTTGGGCTATATCATGGTCCACACGGCGTTGTTCCTGCAAATCGCATTTGTTGCCTAAAACCACAATAGTCACCTATGAAGATTGGAGGAGGAGGAGAGAGAGAAAAATCTAGTTAGTACAATGTCAAATGCACAAAAAGCTCCAAACCCCAGGATGCTCATACATAAGTTTTAATAAAGAATAAAAAGTAATGAAAAAGTAATGAAAAGCAAAGAAAGAAAAGAAAAAAGGACAAAGAAGCAAAAAAAAAATGATAAAAAGAAATAGAAAAAGCTTCCGATTTCCTTTGCAGCAAATAAAAATATGACCCCCTAATTATCTCTTACTCTATGATTATTAAAAAAAATTCTATTATGTACTATTTTTAATAATCAAAACCTCAAATCAAAAGCTGACTTTTTCTGTTTCATGGAAAAATCTGTACTTTTTTTTTGAGGCAACAATAAATGTAGATAATGCCTTTTGTCTAATCAAGGCAGTCAGTTTAGCCATTGCTGCAAATTCCATCATTTTCACCCTCCATTCCTCCATTGTGAATCGAATCCCAGGATGCTTATGACACGGTGAAACAAGGCCACCAGGATATTTGGATGCCTGAGTCAAGGGAAAGCATTCTTTCCCCTTCAGACACTGATTTGTCAGCTGAAGGTTGCTTCTAGAAAGACAACAGGATGGGTCCTTCAGAACTTAAAATTAATCCCAGCATGCTTGCTGGTGGCATAAATGGCTTTTTTTTCTTCAAATATGCCATCTCTGCTTCTTACTGCTCTTAGTGCCTGCCAGCCAAGTTGTCTGCCTCAGGGTCCTTTCATTTATACCATTCTCTGAGAGACTCATCCTCAGCAACTGTAGCATTTAGCTGATCTTGATGGGTTTAAGAAAGCTAAATAGGGTTGGAACTAGTTAATGTTTGGCTGGGAGACCACGAGAAAAATCCCAGGATTGTGGATTCAACTGAGAATGCAAAAAGGAAAGAAAAGAAGAGGGATCCCATTAAAATACATTGGCAAATTATTTCCACATTATTTGCTGAGCTTGACCAGAGAGAGATTTATGTGGCCATACAATCACACACCAACATCATACAGTTCTTGTGACAGAAAAGGTTATTAACTTCCAATTCTCTGGCTTGATAAAAAAAGGGCCAGGGGCTAGGAGCTTCTAATGATGGGTGGAAACTCTTGTTTCTAGAATTGGGGTCCCCCCCAAAGAAATTATTAAGCTATTTTGGTAATTATTATTACCAAAAAAACCAACCACACTACAGGCCACATTTGGGATCACTCTTTTAATGGCCACATTTGGGATCAGCAATGCAAGTATTAAGCCAAGTGGTCACTAAGCGAAACAACAACTGTGCTTACAAACTTACTTCAGCTTTCCTTTGCTTTACAGACCTATGAATGTTATAAATAAGGTGAAGGTAAAGGTTCCCCTCACACATATGTGCTAGTCGTTCCTGACTCTAGGGGGTGGTGCTCATCTCTGTTTCAAAGCCGAAGAGCCAGCGCTGTCCGACGACATCTGTGGTCATGTGGCCGGCATGACTAAACACCAAAGGTGCACGGAACGCTGTTACCTTCCCACCAAAGGTGGTCCCTATTTTTCTACTTGCATTTTTTATGTGCTTTCAAGATAGATTAGCAGAAGCTGGGACAAGTAACGGGAGCTCAACTTATTATAAATAATTGGTCACAAAGTTATTTCTTCAGCACTATTATATTATAACTGTGAACCGGGGTGAAATGCTCCCGGTTCGGATCAGATCGAGTGATCCAGTAGCGATTGTGGTTTGGAGAACCGGTAGCAATGGCAGTGCAAGGCTCCGCCCACCCATCCGGGTGTCATTACTTTCTGGTTTTAACCAGGAAGTAATGTGTTTTTTACCCCCTGCGCATGCGCAGAGAGTCTGGGTGCTGTGCCATGTGGGTGAGCGAAGCGAGCGCGCACGTGAGGCGTGTGCACTTCCGAACCGGTAAGGAAGGTAAGTAGATTTCACCCCTGCTGTGAACAATCATTGTCCAGGACAACTGGTAAACGAGGACTACCTATACCTTTTCTAGGCAGAAAAATAAAGATGTTTGATCGATGTACCCAGTGGTGGGATTCAGCCAGTTCGCACCACTTTGGGAGAACTGGTTGTTAACTTTCTGAGCAGTTTGGCAAACTGGTTGTTGGAAGAAATCATTAGGGCAGAGAACCGGTTGTTAAATTACTTGAATCCCAGCACTGGATGTACCCCTCTAAAGAGAATCAGCATAGCACATCTTCCATAGCTTAAATATATAATATTTTTGTGAAATAAAGATGTAACTATTATGTAACAATTGTTTCTCCTAAAATAATGAAAAATGTAATGGTACCTTGGAAGACTGGGGAAAGAGATGCTGATGTCAGGCCCCAAGCCCAAGAATGACAAATGCTGGTTCTTCCCAGCTGAGTTCTTTATGGTTTCCACATCTACAGGCAGAATCTTGCCAGGTTGAGGACTCTACTATTTGCATCTACCATATATTCTGAGAATTATTAGGGAGGGACTGTCTTCACCCTCTCTTCCTCTCACACAAAATACCTGTCTTCTATTCTTCTGGAATGGTCTCCTCCCTCCTGGGAATCCACCCTACTGCACTGCGTCAAAGCTGCTCTGGGAACAGTCAGATAAGAAGTGCAATCCACACCTGAAGAGCAAGGGGCGGAGCAAGAGATTTAAGAGGACCCTCCCTAAGTCATTGAGCTGTGGGTGATGGCAGGAGAAATATGCTTTTAAGACTTGCAAGATTCAGTTAACCTAGCTTTAGAATAAAATAGAATTAGCTCATTTTACCATGATTCCTTCTACCTGGTAAAGCTGACAGAGACAGAATAAAGACACAGATGTCAAAGACGCTGTGCTACCAGATAAAGAGTAGATTAGAAGCAACAATGTCAAAATAGATTCAAACCAATATGAAATTTTGTTATTTTAGGGTTGTTGCAACAAGATCATAAAGATCATAAATGTTATCTCAAAATAAACTTGGAACAAATTATGTCATTTTTGTCTTAATAAACACATTTTGTTACTAGGTCCCCACTTCTAAAGAACATTATGTTTTTGAAAGTTGATTTGAGAATCTACTTCAAAACATCCCTAGACTCTTTGCTACCCAAAGGCTTTTATGACACGAGTATCTGGAATGCTGAGAGTGAGTTCGATCTAGTGGTTAAGGAATAAGGCTAGAAAGTGGAAGACCATGAGGAAAATTCCTGCCTTAGCCATCCAACAGGGTGACCTTGGGCAGTCACTCTCTCTCAGCCCAATTCACCTCACAGAATTGCTGTAAGCGAAACAGGAGAAGGAAAATATGTTCGCTGCCTTGAGTTATTCGTAAAAATAATACAGTCAATCAGCCAATCAATCAATCAACTAATGTTCTGCAAATTTTCCCAAATAGGAAATGCTTCAGAAAATAATTCCACCTACCTCCTTCTTATCCTTGTTTTTATCTATTTCCTTCTTGAGAATCTCCACTCTCTTGAAAGACTCCTTGCTGTCAATACTGTAAACCAGTACAAATCCATCCGTGCAAGAGAAGCAATGCTTGGGCAACTCCAAGCACGGGGAAGCTCCATCCCTCAAGCCTCGGGTATCATAGAAACGCACTTGTTCACGCATATTCCGGTCTGTTTCAATGGAACCCACATAAATGTCTTCCTGGGTTTCAATCATTTCTGAACCTGCACAGAGTCAATCAGACAGAATTTAAGAATCTCTACCAAAAAAACCTCTGAATCTTGCTCCTAGAAAGACCTACACAGGAATCTAGAATAATTTATGCTAACTGCACTTGCTAAATGTTTAATTATTGTTTCAGTATTTTTAAATTATCATAACTTCAGCAAAAACATGGAGGAAAAAGTGTGTATAACTGGGTGGCACAATATACCAAATGAAAAGGAAGTCTGATCTGGGGACACAATGTGATGGGCAATGGTGTAAGAATGATTCAACTCACCATAGTTAGCATGACCATGTTAGCTTACCATCATGGACAAACTCCGGGCCTACAATTAATTTCTAGTTCAATAGATCAGATTAATTCACAAGAACAAGTAAATACTCTGTATATCATTGCATTGTATGTGCATGTCAACAAATGGGAGCAATTATGAGCAGATAACTTGCCAATTTGAAATTGTTTTTCATGCTTTACCTCAACACCTTTTCCTTAAAATGTCATTATTTTACCGCATGTATTTCTACATCTGTCCCTATATGAATGAAAAATAAATTAGTTGAACTTGCATATTACATTGAGCCATAGTGCACATTGAACATGCTTTATTAAGCAAATTTACCGTATTTTTCGGTGTAGAAGACTCACCAGAATATAAAACGCACCTTAATTTTTGGGGAGGAAAACAAGAAAACAAGAATTCTACCTCTGCCTACCAGCATTTTGGAACAGTCTGGGGAGGATCTGCCTGGCAGCTTCGGGGAACAAGACGGGTGCCACGATTTGCGGCTGGTCACCCCTCTGGCTGCCCAGCAGGCAGCTTAGGGCAGGCAATGGCCGCAATGACTTCACTCCCCTGCAATGTACTCCCCTGCTGTAGTAGTCCTGCACATTCCCAATGGGAAGAAAAGCACTTTCAGGCGGCAGCACTACAATCTCCTCCCCAAATCCAAAACGGTTCCCAGTTCCCCGCTGCACATTGCAGGGGAACTGGCCGCCCGCCACCTGAAACGCGGCTCTGATTATTGTGTTGGGGAATCTGGGCAGCGGTGGCTAGAAAGGAGGGGCATTTTTCTTTAGGAGCTCTTGTTCGGCTCCTGGGCGCAGAGGGCTTAGGCGGCAGCTCCTCACATTGCAGGGGAGTGAAGTCATTACGGCCATTGCCTGCCCTAAGCTGCCTGCTGGGTGGCCAGAACGATGACCAGCCGCAAATTGTGGCATCTGCCTTGTTCCCCGAAGCTGCTGGGCAGATTCCCACCCACCCCCAGACCGTCCCAAAGAGGGTTGTTCCTCAGGCTGTGCCCCGACCCAGATCCCTGCCGCCTGGAACTGCCCGAAAATGGCCAAAGGGTGGGGGCCGGCGGGCGGGGCTACATTCAGCGTATAAGACGCACCCAGATTTTCACCCCCTTTTGGGGGGTAAAAAAATGCATCTTATACACCGAAAAATACGGTACATGTTAATCATGATTCTCAAGGCAACAGGTTTAACTCATATAGGTAGTCTGCAACTTACAACAGTTCATTCAGTGACCATTCGAGGTTACAACAGCACTGAAAAAAGTGACATGACTGTTTTTCACATTTATGACCATGGTCACGTGATCAAAATTCAGATGCTTGGAAACCAACTCATGATGGTTGTAGTGTCCCAGAGTTACGTGATCAGTTTTTGCGACCTTCTGACAAATCAATCGGAGAGCCAGATTCACTTAACAACCGTGTTTCTAACTTAACAACTGCAGTGATTCATTAACAACTGCAGTAAGAAAAGATGTAAAATCGGGCAAAATTCATTTAAGAATTAGCAACAGAAATTTTGGGTTCAATTGTGGTCGTGGTAGTTGAGGGTTTCCGATACATGCCAATAACAAACCCAAATAAAGCTTTTTAATGTTCACACATTGCACTAAGCCATAGTATGATGCCCGAATCCATCAATCTCCTTTGTTAGTCCTGGTTTATTAGCAGTGTGTTGTGCCACTCAGCCAACTGAGTGGTTATTGAAGGAAAAATTCCTAAGCAGATCATGGCTTAGCAGCCAATGAAACAGAAAAGCCTAAAATGTATGATCTGCGCAAAATAGCAAAGAAATAAGATTTCCCATTTAATGCCAACACTCACCAACAATATGATTCCCATACAGAAGCTGTTCCAGGATCGAAGTCTTCCCAACTGATGCTTGCCCACATACTACCACTTTGCAACTCTTCCCCATTATCTGGACAATACAGAGAGAAAACAATCAAGAAGGATATACTGAAAATGAATGGTGAAAACATGCCTAAATGACGATACATATGCAAACACCACTGTTGCTCAAGGCTGGCTTGGGCTATTCAGAGAAGAAGATCCACAAATTATAATAACCAGACTATTTTAATCTTAGGTGCTGGTACACTGGTAAAAGATATGAGCAGAACTTCATGGGGCTTTAAAATGGCAAATGCCTGGGCAGGGTCAAGCAGAACTAAGATGAAGAACAACTAATATATCTGTTATTTGCAAGAAATGGAAAGTGTTTCTTAAGGCTTGATAATTTAATATTTACAAATAGAATTGAAATTTTTTTCCTGCTATGGTTGGCTTTTTTTTTTTTTTTTTAATTTGATTTATATGCCGCCCTTCTCCAGAGACTCAGGGCGGCTTACAATGCGTTAAGCAATAGCCTTCATTCTTTTGTATATTTTATACAAAGTCAGCTTATTGCCCCCACAAACTGGGTCCTTTATTTTGATTGGAAACCCAAGCCATGTTCTTATTCTACAGTCTGCACTATACACCATATTAACTCTAATCCTTTTTATATATTTTTAGAATCATCATATTTTTCCTTTATCTTAATTATGACTCTGGGTTATTTGCTGGTCTGTGAGTGAATAAAATTAGGTTTGATTTCACTGGAAGCCAGATCCAAAACTTAGGCAAATTATTACTGCAGACCGTATGACAAACGAGTATATCCAAATACACGAGTTACTACAGATCAGAAAGTTTTATGCAGAGAATCACTGTGGAGAAAAGAATTACACCAAGATCTGAGCCAGATTCATTAATGTTCCTATTTTGTCAGAGAGAAACCTTGAGGTCAATTATATATGTGAATAGCAAAAGCCTAAGGTAGGTGAAATGAGGACCCAGTTTGTGGGGGCAATAAGCTGACTTTGTATAAAATATACAAAAGTATGAAGGCTATTGCTTAACGCATTGTAAGCCGCCCTGAGTCTCCGGAGAAGGGCGGCATATAAATCAAATTAAAAAAAAAAAAAAAGTTCAGAGAGCACCATGAACCTCTCATTTCAACCCTGAGCTACAAATATTCTCCTTTATTGGAATATTTTTATGTCTCTGACAACCAAAACTGTACAATGGAACAGGAAAGCTATAGTATCTCCAAGTAATGTTCTTGCTTTTTAGAGGGGGGGAAGTTTACCAGTTGATATTGCTTCTGTGCCACATTTTATTTATTAATTTTTTATGCTACCCATCTCCCCCTGTAAGGTAATTTTTATTTTCTACATAATTCTACATAATTTACACAATAATTTATACATAGTATAGTATATAAAGTTAAATATGTTTAAATATAAATACAAGAATAATTTTTAGTCTGTTCATATTTTCTACAGATTAACCAGGATTTATCCACACCATTAGGTTTTTAGGTTTAGGTTTTATTTGATTTGTATACCGCCCTACTCCCGAAGGACTCAGGGCGGTGAACAGCCAACAATAAAATACATAAATACACAAAATTTAAAAACCTGATAAAATCAAATTAAACTTTTTGGCCCAGACAAATTAAAATACCCCAATAATTTAAAAACAGATTAAAATTTACATATTTTAAAAAGGGAAGAGATCAGGCCAAGCCCGCTTGATGGAATAAAAAGGTCTTCACAGCACGGCGGAAGGAACACAGATCCGGGATCCTCCGTATCTCCGGGGGGAGCTCATTCCAGATGGTAGGTGCCCCCACAGAGAAGGCTCTCCCCCTAGGGGCCGCCAGTCGACACTGTTTGGCTGACGGCACCCGGAGGAGTCCCTCTCTATGAGAGCGTACTGGCCGGTGGGAGGCTATTGGTGGTAGTAGGCGGTCCCGTAAATAACCAGGCCCTAAGCCATGGAGCGCTTTAAAGGTGGTAACCAAAACCTTGAAGCGCACCCGGAAGACCACCGGGAGCCAGTGCAGCTCGCGCAGGAGAGGTGTTACATGGGAGCGCCATGTCGCTCCCATTACCACCCGCGCGGCTGCACTCTGCGCCAGTTGGAGCCTCCGGGTGCTCCTCAAGGGGAGCCCCATGTAGAGAGCATTACAATAGTCCAGGCGGGAGGTGACGAGGGCATGAGTGACCGTGCGTAACGAGTCCCGATCCAGAAAGGGACACAACTGGCGAATCAGGCGGACCTGATAAAAAATCCTCCCAGTCACGGCCGTCAAGTGCTCTTCTAAAGACAGCCGTGAATCCAGGAGGACGCCCAAGTTGTGAGCCCTCTCCGTGGGGGCCAATGATTCGCCCCCAATAGTCAGTGATGGCGTCAACTGGCTATATCGGGACGTCGGAAACCACAGCCACTCGGTCTTGGATGGGTTGAGCCTGAGCCTGTTTCTCCCCATCCAGATCCGTACGGCCTCCAGGCACCGGGACATCACTTCAAGGGCATCGTTGGGGTGATCCGGGGTGGAGATGTACAGCTGGGTGTCATCAGCGTACTGATGGTACTCCACCCCGAAACCACGGATGATCTCGCCCAGCGGCTTCACATAAATGTTGAACAGGAGAGGTGAGAGGTCCGACCCTTGCGGCACCCCACATGAGGGGCCTCGGGGTCGACCTCTGTCCCCCTGTCAACACGGACTGCGACCGGTCAGAGAGAAAGGAGGAGAACCACCGCAACACGGTGCCTCCCACCCCTAACTCTTCCAACCGGTGCAGCATGATACCATGGTCGATGGTATCAAAAGCCGCTGAGAGATCTAACAGGACCAGGACAGAGGAGCACCCCCTGTCCCGAGCCCTCCAGAGATCATCAACCAACGCGACCAATGCCGTTTCCGTGCTGTACCCGGGCCTGAAGCCCGACTGGAACGGATCCAGATACGTCGTTTCATCCAGGTGCTGGGGAAGCTGTTGCGCAACCACACTCTCAACAACCTTTGCCACAAAACGAAGGTTGGAGACCGGACGATAATTTACCAACATTGCCGGGTCCAGGGAAGGCTTCTTGAGGAGAGGCCTCACCACCGCCTCTTTCAAGGCGGCAGGAAAGACACCCTCACCCAGCGAAGCATTTATAATCCCCTGGAACCAGCCTCGTGTCACCTCCCGAGAAGCCAGCACTAACCAGGAGGGACACGGGTCCAATAAACAAGTGGTCGCGTTCAGTCTACCCAGAATCCTGTCCACGTCCTCAGGGGTCACAGGATCAAACTCATCCCAGATAACATTCTCAAGACCTGCCCCAGTCCCTCCCCCTGAGACTATCCAGTCGGAGTCCAGATCTTCCCGAATCTGAGCGATTTTGTCATACAGATATTGGACAAAATCCTCGGCTCTACCCTCCAAGGGGTCCTCCCGCGCTTCCTGGTGGAGCAGGGAGCGGGTCACCCTAAACAGGGCGGCCGGGCGATTATCTGATGATGCAATAAGAGCAGCAAAATAGCTACATTTCGCTGCTTTTATCGCCACTAGGTAATTCCTAATATGAGCTCTTACCAGTGTCCGGTCAGATTCAGAAAGACTGGCCCTCCAACTACTCTCTAGGCGTCTTTTCCGGCGCTTCAACTCCCTCAGCTCCTCAGTGAACCAAGGAGCTAAATGAGATCGGCGCCGGGTCAGAGGCCGCAAAGGCACGACCCGATCCAGAGCTCCAGTGGCCGCCCTATCCCAGGCGGCCACTAGGTCTCCAGTCGAGGCGTGTGCCAGAGCCTCAGGGAATGGCCCAAGCTCCATCTGGAACCTATCCGGTTCCATCAGGCGCCTGGGGCGGAACCATCTTACCGGCTCCGCCTCCCTGCGGCGGGGTGTAGCGGTTCGAAGGTCGAGACGAAGGAGAGAGTGATCAGACCATGACAAGGGCTCGGTGACTATATCCCCTATCTCGAGATCACTCAACCACTGTCCAGAGACAAAAACCAGATCCAGCGTGTTTCCCCCCGTGTGGGTAGGGCCATGAATTAACTGGGTCAGGTCCATGGCTGTCATGGAAGCCATGAACTCCCGAGCCACCTCAGATGCCTCACCAACGGACGGCAAGTTGAAATCCCCCATGACCATAAGCCTAGGGGTCTCAACCACCACCGTGGCGATGACACTGAGTAGCTCGGGCAGGGCTGCTGCCACATGGCAGGGAGCCAAGTATGTGATCAGCAAACCCATCTGAACCCCGTGGCCCCATTTCACAAGGAGGGATTCACAGCTGGCCGTCTGAGGAACAGTGGCCTCCCTCGGTCTCAGACCTTCGTTAATAATAACCGCTACCCCCCCGCCCCTACCCTGCAACCTCGGCTGATGGAATGCGCGGAAACCTGGTGGGCACATTTCAACAAGAGGGACCCCCCCCCCTCTTGGCCCAACCAGGTTTCCGTAATACCTGCCAGGTCCGCTCCCCCCTCCTGAACAAGATCACAAATGAGGGGGGCTTTATTTACTACAGACCTGGCATTGCATAACATCAGACGGAGGCCAGGGCCCTGAGGATCTGCGCCACCTGGAAAACGAGTGGAGCTTTGGGGGCCGGAGCGCGCCACCGCTCGAAGACAGCGGGCGCGCGCTCCCCTAACATGATATGGCCCCCTGCTCCCGCCATATCTACCCCTCCCACCCACGGTACTGATGGTAAAAACCTTATCTGGATGAACTTTATCCCCCCTCTTGACCCCGGGCCCCCCACCCCCCATGCCGTGCTCCACAGCCTTACCTGGCCCTCCCCTTAGTGGGTTATCCCCCATACCCACGGCCTTACTTCTGATCCAACCCTCCCCCCCCCCGGAACCCCTTAAGACATTTGCTAAAACTTTATCTAAAAAACCCCTCAACCCCCTCTTCGTGACATGCCACCTCTCTGGGTTCCAAAGCCCTTCATCGAGGTAGGCCTTCGATAACATGGAAGGCCAGGCTTGCGAGAGGGGGGAGTCTCGCAAGGCAAAGAGCTCAGCCGGTGAATACCATAAACATTTTGTTATTGTTGTTAGTTGCGAAGTTGTGTTTGACCGATTGCGACCCCATGGACAACTTTCTTCCAGGCCTTCCTGTCCTCTACCATCCCCCGGAGACCATTTAAGCTCAAGCCTACTGCTTCCATGACTCCATCCAGCTACTTCATTCTCTGCCGTCCCCTTCTTCTTTTGCCCTCAATCGTTCCTAGCATTAGGCTCTTCTCCAGTGAGTCCTTCCTTCTCATTAGGTGGCCAAAGTATTTCAGTTTCATCTTCAGGATCTGGCCTTCTAAAGAGCAGTCAGGGTTGATCTCCTCTAAGACTGACCGGTTTGATCGCCTTGCAGTCCAAGGGACACACAGGAGTCTTCTCCAGCACCATAGTTCAAAGGCCTCAATTCTTTGACACTCAGCCTTCCTTATGGTCCAACTTTCACAGCCATACATTGCAACTGGGAAAACCATAGCCTTGACTATACTCACTTTTGTTGGCCGGGTGATGTCTCTGCTTTTTATTATGCTGTCTAACTTTGCCATAGCTTTCCTCCCCAGGAGCAAGTGTCTTTTAATTTCTTGGCTGTAGTCCCCGTGTGCGGTGATCTTGGAGCCCAGGAAAATAAAATCTGTCACTATCTCCATTTCTTCCCCATCAATTTGCCAGGAATTGAGAGGGCCGGGAGCTATTATTTTAGTTTTCTTAATGTTGAGTTTCAAGCCAACTTTTGTATTCTCCTCCTTTACCCACATCAGAAGGTTCTTTAGTTCCTCTTCGCTTTCTGCCATTAGAGTGGTATCAACTGCATATCTGAGGTTGTTGATATTTCTCCCGGCAATCTTAATTCCAACGTGATTTATATCTAGCCCTGCCTTTCTCATGATGTGCTCTGCATATAAGTTAAATAGGCAGGGCGATAGTATACAGCCTTGCCAAATTCCTTTCTCAATTTTGAACCAATCAGTGGTTCGGTGTCCAGTTCTTATTGTTCCCTCTTGACCCGCATATAGGTTTCTCAAGAGACAAATAAGATGGTCTGGTATTCCCATCTCTTTGAGAATTTGCCACAATTTGTTGTGATCCACACAATCAAAGGCTTTAGTATAGTCAATGAAGCAGAAGTAGATTTGTTCTGGAACTCCCTAGCTTTCTCCACGATCCAGCATATATGTTGACAATTTGATCTCTAGTTCCTCTGCCTCTTTGAAATCCTGCCTGCACTTCTGGTAGTTCTCGGTTCGCATACTGCTGGAGCCTAGCTTGTAGGATTTTGAGCATAACTTTGCGAGCATGTGAAATGAGTGCAATGGTGCGGTAGTTTGAACATTCTTTGGCATTGCCCTTCTTTGGAATTGGAATGTAAACTGACCTTTTCCAATCCTGTAGCCACTGTTGAGTTTTTCAAATTTGCTGGCAAATTGAGTGTAGCACTTTTACTGCATCGTCTTTTATGATTTGAATAGCTCAGCTGGAATACTGTCACCTCCACTAGCTGTGTTGTTGCTCAGACTTCCTAAGGCTCATTTGACTTCGCATTCCAGGATGTCTGGCTGGAGGTCAGTGGCCACCCCATCGTGGTTATCAGGGATGTTAAGCTCATTCTTGTATAGTTCTTCTGTGTAATTTTGCCACCTCTTCTTAATCTCTTCTGCCTCTGTTAGGTCCCTGCCATTTTGGTCCTTTATCATGCCTATCTTTGGATGAAACGTTCCCTTCATATCTCTAATTTTCTTGAAGAGATCTCTGGTCCTCCCTATTCTATTGTTTTCTTCTATTTCTTTGCACTGTTCATTTAAGAAGGCATTCTTATCTCTTCTAGCTATTCTCTGGAATTTTGCATTTAATTAGGTGTGTCTTTTTCTTTCTCCCTTGCCTTTCGCTTCCCTTCTTTCCTCAGTTATTCCTCAGACAGCCATTTTGGATTTCTTTTTCTTTGGGATGGTTTTAGTTGCTACCTCTTGTACAATGTTGCGAACTCAGTCCAAGGTTCCTTAAATTTATTTGTCACCTCTATTGTATATGATTTAGTTCATACCTGAATGGCCTAGTGCAGGGGTCTGCAACCTTAAATATTCAAAGAGTCATTTGGACCCGTTTCCCACAGAAAACACCGGGAGCCACAAAACCTGGGTGGGCGTGGCCAACTCATGTCACTCACTTCCACCGGTCACATGACCCCCACTAGCCATGCCTACCCAGCCAGTCATTATGGCAGACAACCAGTTGTTAAAAAACACCGGGAACCACAAAATCCTTTTGACATATCTCTCTCCCCACTCCCTCTCCCACTCTCTCCCACTCTTTGTATCTCTCTCTGTCCCCCCTCTCTCTGTATCTCTCTGTCTCTGCCCTGACTGCTTCTCCATCCTCCGCTGTTGCCCTTACCTTCTCAGACCAGGCGAGGAATGACTGGGAGGGCAGGGCGAGGGGCGGGGCCAGCCAGTATTGGGATCACCTGACAGGGAGCCACAGCAGAGGGCCCAAAGAGCCACATGTGGCTCCGGAGCCGTAGGTTGCTGACCCCTGGCCTAGTGCTTTTCCCTACTTTCTTCAATTTAAGCCTAAATTTTGCCACAAGAAGCTTATGATCTGAGCCACAGTCAACTCCTGATCTTGTTTTTACTGACTGTATAGAGCTTCTCAATCTTTGGTTGCAGAGCACATAGTCAATCTGATTTCTGTGTTGACCATCTGGTGATGTCCATGGGTAGAGTTGTCTCTTGGGTTGTTGGAAAAGAGTATTTGCTATGACCATCGTATTCTCTTGACAAAATTCTACCAGCCTGTGCCCTGCCTCATTTTGTACTCCAACATCAAACTTGTCTATTATTCCGGTTATCTTTTGACTTCCTACTTTAGCATTCCAATCCTCCATGATGATAAGAACATCATTTTTGGTGTTAATTCTAGAAGGTAAGGCTTCATAGAACCAGTCAACTTCAGCCTCTTCAGCACCAGTGGTTGGGGCATAGACTTGGACTACTATGATGTTGAATGGTTTGCCTGGGATTTGAACTGAGATCATTCTGTCATTTTAGGGATAGTATCCCAGTACTGCTTTTCCTATTTTTTTATTGACTATGACGGCTACTGCATTTCTTCTGAGAGATTCTTGCCTGCAGTAGTATACCTGATAATCATCTGAATTAAATTCACCCATTCCTGTTGGTACTGTCCATAGGGTTTTCATGGCAAAGATACTGGAGCGGTTTGCCATTTTCTTCTCTAGTGGATCACGTTTTGTCAGAGCTCTCTGCTGTGACCTGTCTGTCTTGGGTGGCCCTGCACGGCATAGCTCATAGCTTCATTGTGCTGTGCAAGCCCCCCTTCGGCACAAGAAGGCAGTGATCCATGAAAGTGACCACAAACATAGAGGAATAAATTAGGCAGTACTGGTACAAATTTCCACTGTTGAGAACAATTATTCCTTTAATCTAGTGTAGTGCTCAGAGAAACATCACACTGCAATGTCAAATGACAAAACGGCTGTTTCTTATATTTCATGACACTTTGGCTCTTTTATTTGCGCATTAATGGTCTGTCAAGCAAGGCCTGTCTGCAATCTGATAAAAGCCAAGTTGTCAAAAGCCAATGTCATCATTTATCAATCAATCTTCAAGGCACTGCAAGCTTCTGGTGGGTTTGATAATACTCTAATTAAACAGCTGGTTGCTCCTCCTTAGAGAGGGGACTGGGCTCATTTGCAAATCTACCACAGATGAAATTAAAGTGCAAATGCACACAATCGCTATTGCGCTTCTAAAAGTCTGCAATTTTTCTGAAAACTCAATTTAAAAAAAACACAAACAGCCAATCCAAGGCAACCTACCTTCCCAACCCGGGCACTGCTCCTGATGTTTCCCTGCCGTCTTCAGCAAGGAAAGGAACTGAAGACCAACAACTCGGCATGACTGAGAGAAAAGGCATACATGGGAACTGCAGCCCACAGCTCCATCTAGAGCACTGTCTCTGGTGTGATTTACTCTCTCTTGCAATCCAGTTAAGATATTTAGGAAAAGGTAACAGCAGCGCGTTGCAGTCAAACACGGCAGAATGGAAATACAAAGCTGAGCTCAGCAATCTTGCTATAATCCAACCGGGGCTGTTTTTCATTTTAAATTTTATGAAAATTATACAATCAAGCGGATGGCTATCGATCTTTAAACAAAACGGCAGAAATGATGAGAGGAATAAAGCAATACCTTTTTTCCCTCCCTATCTCTGATTGAATTCACATATTTATATTAAAGCAAATTTTGTTAGGCAAGAGTGCTGGTAGCAGAAAAATGGGAAATTAAAATACCCTTACAGTAGAAATGAAATGAGAATAAATACATGTGAGGTATTTTGATTGCAAATATGATGCCGAAAAATGTTTTTTAAGGTTTGGATATCTTCGGTTGATGCAATGGCTGTGTTCACGTGGCCTTCTTGATTAACTGATGTATGGTTTATGGAAATAATACAATTTTCTGGGTTTCACATAATATGAACAATACATCCGATACACAGGTTAGCTTTGCAGAACACATTAGGCTGAAACATAGTTGATTAGTTTTTCTTATTGTGCTCATGCAATCAGAGCTGTTTTATTGAAGAATGAATGAATTCTTTCTCCTGGAATAAAAACGTATCAATGTATAAAATTGTCATCTAGTGCTCTATTGCTCAAGTATCTAAGCAATAAAAAAAATAAAAATATATGCATCTTGCTTTTATTGCTAGATAGAGTTGCCTTTCCAAAAAAAAAAAAACCAACCAAAAAAAACCTCTTATAGAATTCTTTCAAACCGTATTTTCCATTTTTACAGCAGAAGAAACCTGCCTATCTATAGATAGAACTTATTCCTAACTAAGTATAAACAGATTCTGAAATATTGAAGCCCAGTGCTATCAAAAAGAGATCTGAACACAGACCGGTCCCGACTGCCAGGTTTTTTTTTGATGCATATTTTTGCCTGAAGACAAATGATTATTTCCAATTCCTGTTTGTCCAATCGCGAGGCAAGAAGATTTTTTTTTCCCCTTGGAGGACTCGCTTCCCAACCGGAAGTGGCCTATCTAACCCCGATTCTTCTCTCTCCGGATATAGAAGGAGGAACTTCCGCCTCGTTCTTTTTTTTTTTTTTTCTTTTCTCTCGTTCTCTCTCCTCGGCTCGCCGGCCGTTGATTGCAGCAACAAGGAACCAAGATGGCGACGGCGGGCGGAGATTGCGACGTGATTATGGCGCCCGCGGCACCCCCAGCGGTGGCTTCCCATTCCGCGGTGCCCCTGATGTTGAGCGAGGAGGACGAGGGGACGCGCAGGTAAGCCCTCCGCCACCTCTTCCGTCCCTGGAAAAGAGTTTTTTTTTATCCCCGCGGAGGGGGAGGGGCTGCTTCGAAGCCGGGCGGGGGGAGAGAGGACAAGAGGCGGAGCCTGATTCACTGCCGTGGTTGGCGGGTGGGGGGGGGGGGAGGGAGAGAGAAAGAAATAGGGCTTCTTTTAGGAAAGTATCTTGGACGGCAGCACCTGCGATTTGTTACCGTTGTCATTTGTCAGCTCTTCCTCCAAAGGGTCACGAATGAGAAAATTCAAGATTAAGCCCATTAATGACGGGCAGTTAAGAGAAGCTCTCTCATTGAGGGACAGTGTACATCTAAAATTCAGTCTGCTTAGGGATAAATCATGCAGGTTCTGTTGTAACTTCTGGGCTCTTTAGAGAGGAATTGCTGGATGAAAGAGACCTACAGCCTGATCGATATTTACATTTAACCGTAAATTTCCCAGTTTCAAGGTATAACAGGATTCAAGCTGGAGATTAGCCATCCTACTGCATCTCTCTCTGTGTGTAGTTGCAGACTTACTGCTGAATTCCATTATTCCTGTAATTCAGTTATTATAGCTCTCCAAGTACTTTCCCACAAGGGTTTATTACAGGAACTCTATATATACAGGTTCTGAAGAGGAACCAGAAATACATATGTTTCAGTAGTGGGTTTCAAATTCCGTTGCTACCAGTTTGCTCATGGGTGCCCGTGTGCGCGTGATGCTTCTGCGCATGCACAGAAGCTTCTGCACATGCGCAGAGACGTCCGGGTGGGTGGGCGGAGCCTCCCGCTGCCACTGCTACCGGTTCGCCCAATCCAGGGCGAACCTGTAGCAATCCACCACTGATATGTTTGAGTAATGTTTTTACTCTATTTTACAGACAAGTTAGTTTGACCATCAATTACTCTACAATTGGTCTCTTTGTTTCAGATATTGTGCACAGTACATGACTTGGGATATGGTTTGGTATATAAACGATTTCTCTTTGATCTCAGCATTTCAAGAACATCCCACTAAATAAACATACCGTATGTTGGTTAGGGTAGCAGCTGTTCTTGCCATGGGAATCTTTTAGATAATGAGAAATGCCGCAGTAGTCAGTGAGACATTTAATAATCTGTACATTTTGTGTTAAATCTTATTTGGGAAAAACATTTTGAATTTCATTTTGGGTTATCATGGGGCAGTGAATTTTCTCATCTTTGATTCATAAGATTCATAATCACTGCATAATAGTGTAAGCACTTGCATGTAAAAATGAATGCAGTATTTTTTTAAAAAAAATAATTCTGGGTTGGATGCCACTTGGTTTATACCAAGTGACTCCTCCCTTGTGACAAAAATCATAGATGTAGAGGAATCCCTAGCAAAAATTAGTAGCTAATCTGGAAATTTGTAGTATCAGACTGTGGTTTTGATTGGCTGGGCAAACAGAAAAAAAGGTGAAGAAAAAATGAATCTGTTGGCTATCATTAATTACAAAATCAGATGTATGATTTGAAAAGAATTCCTGTTTCTCCTGTTATTCAAAGGATTCACACCTTATTTCAGATTTCTCTTCTGCCCTATAGCTAAAGGTACCTAACAATAAACGCTTATTATACTTATATATAGAAGCTGACATACATAGTTGGGTTGTAAGACATGTACTCCTGGGACATTGGATGATAGCCAACACTTGTAATTGGCATTTTGCTCGGGTGCATAGTGTGGTTTATCCTCAGGGGAACCTTCTGAATTGGATAAGTGAGCTATAATTTATGTTAGCAAGCTTGGCTAGGGTTTGAATATGAGTCTTCCAGCTAAATATTCCATAATGGAATTCAAAATATTAGATTCCCTAGTGACAGTTGACCACCAATTAAAGGTATTGACTTCTTTCCTCCTTGCAAGATTGCAACTTGATCTACAATTTCCAGCCTGTCTTCAAATAGTGAAACTTAGTTTGTGAGGTTAGGGAGTGAAGAATTAAAACTATTTCATAAGAGAACGATAATTTTAAGATTATTAAACTATTAATTGCAGTTGAATGTGATTTATTCAGTGCATCATAATTAAATTATAGTTAATATATATGAATTCAAGCATGCGTTATTGTACCAATATTAAATAATGGTTGAAATTATAAAAACGTACAGTTGTGTTTGTCAATACTGGAGGCAAAAAGGAGATACATACTACAAACAGGAGAAAAAAAGACCATGTTAAATCTTGCATATCAGGCATCCATAATGACTAACCATTATTCCTGGAGCATGTTTCAGAATCCTTTGCAATATTTATGGATTCCTTATCAATTGTATGGGAAGGATTTTCCCCTAATTTAAAAACCTCGCCAGTACAACTTCCATAGCTTGAATTGCCTGCTCACATTCTGAAAGTATGTATACTATTTCACAAAAAGGGCATATCCTGGGTTCTGGAAGGATTTCTGTCTTGGAACAGTATCTAATAGGGTTGTGTAGTGTTTTGTAATTATATTTTTGAGAGCACGGAAATAAAACTGTAACCCCTATTTGCTAGACATTTTAGAACAAGAGTGAAATTGCTTCAAAACTGCTGTGATTAGGATTAGGGTTAAAGTTTCCCTGCTGTGTGATCCTTGGAAAACACAATTCTATTAAGGTATTACAGATAGGTACTGTATTTTTATTTGTAGTAATGCATAATCCTAGGGTTCTAACCCAGCTCTCCAAACACAACAAACCCTCTGAAGTTAACTCAAAGATTCCTTTATTAGGAATGCCAACAGCCCTGGCAAAAAGTTTCTCTCTAAGCCTCAGGCTAACAAGTCCATTCGTCTGGAAGATGGATAGTTGTCTGCTACATCTATTCATCTCCGCTCCCTTTTATCCTCGGAGCTAGGGTGGCGCTTCTCTAGCAGCAGTGGCTCTTCTGTCCCAAGGATCGACCCATGGATTTCCACTGTTCTTCTCTCCTTTATCTTCTGCGTATCCGCATGTCAGGCACTGGATCCAGCTATTCCTCCTCTTCCTTATCAGCCACCTCCAGACCTGGGGGCTGTTGACTCACCATCTGAGGGCTGACGGACAGCCCAGGCTCTGTCTCTCTCTCTGCCAGCTCCATTCCCACTTCCCCCTCTGAGCTCTCAGGTTGACCCTGACTCCCACACCTCCTCCTCCTCTGATTCAGCTACTGGAGGGGCTAGTATCTAAAATGAGAGTTTATCTTAGATAAATGTACTCTGTGCTATAGAGTCAGGGTAAATTCATTAATTGTGATGGTTATAAAAATCTTAAGTACCGTGTTTCCCTGAAAATAAGACCTAGCCTTATTTTTAAGTGTGCACGCAATATAAGCCCTATCCCCAAAATAAGTCCGAGTGAAGGGCGGTGGCCAGCACAAGAGGTGGCGAGTGCGCCGATGGTGTCAGGTAGCAGCCGCAGCCCGCACAGCACAGTTGAGTTGAATTCCTGTCCAAGCCCCAGATGGAGGCAGAGGTGCGGGGGGAGGCAGGCGATCGGGAGGCACCGCACTGGCCACGGGAAAGCTGAGAGTCAGTGGGCCGGAGCAGCAGGCGACTGCAGGAGACTCATCTTTGCAGCATATAGAGGCAGAGATGTGGAAAGTAAGAAAGAAAACAACCAACCTCACAGAGCACCAAGGGCCCCTCATTTCAACCCTGAGCTACAAATATTGTCTTATATTAATTATCTTAAATCAAATGTATGTTAAAAGCTTTGAATAATAAAATTGAGAAATATACTTTTATATAGTCACATGATTGGTCTGGAGTGATTATTTCCAGTGGCCTATTCATATGACACATTCAGCTGGTTTGAGTTTGACACTAGGAAAATTTGGTAAATGGAGCAAAAGATAAAACTGTCTCTGCTCCCTGGTCAGCTTTGTTGTTTTGCTGAACAAGTTGGGGTTTGATTAATCCCCCACCCCCCAATTGTAATGGAAATTATATTGTAGAGAGCCCCCAGGGAAAATGGGTTCTCTAGGCATTCTCTGTCCTTGGCTGTTTGGTTCTCTCTTATCACCCCTCATCCTGCAACTACAGGGGAAAATGAAAAAGGGCAAAAAACAGGTTGGTGTAAGTATGATACTCAGTTACGCTATCATAATTTTTATTCTTAAAAATTTCACTCTTGCTAAAACCAAGTGGGAAATTTACAAAAAAGAGCACTGACACTGTTGTTTCATCTGGTGCAGAGCTTTTCCTTCTTAGCTGAGGAATAGAATTGTTTTTCTAGCATTTTTTGCTGTGGTCATTAAACGAATATACAGCCAGTCCTTGACTTACAATGTTCACTGAGTGACCATTCAAGGTTACAGTGGCACTGAAAAAAGAAACTTACGACCATTTTTTAGTTGCTCCATGATCATGGATCAAGATTTAGATGCTTGGCAACTGGTTTATACTTTTGACAGTTGCAGTGTTCCAGGGTTATATGATCATTTTTTGCAACCTTCTGACAAGCAAAGTCAATAGGGAAGCCAGATGCATTTAACAACCATGTTATCAATTTAATAACTGTACTGATTCACTTAAGAACTGTGGCAAGAAAGTTCGTAAAATGGGGCAAAACTCAATTAACAAATGTCTCATGTAACAACAGAAATTTTGGCTCAACTGTTGAAAGTTGAGGATTACCTGTAATGATAATTGTTAAGTGAATCCATTCTAATGGTGTTTTTTGCCAGAAACCAGTAAATAAAGCCAGAAACTGATTTAAAAAAGTCACAGATTGCGGTCACTTGACAGCAGTTAATGCTGTGACTATTTACTGAGCACCTGGCATGAACTCACATGATGGGGAGGGGGGGGAAACATTACAAATTTTAAAAGTTTTAAAGACTGTAAAGCACCAGTTCCATTGCCATTGTAAAGGCAAGAGGGCGTGGCCAGCATCGGGCGATACGGTGTGGATTCTGGAGCTCCAGAAGAGCACTGATATCCCAGCTGATTTTGGGGATCCATAGGGATCATCCACTGAAAAGAATATATGTCACTTCGGGTGCTCTC